TTCTATATTACTCTGAGAAAGAAAAAAATCAGAAAGGAAGGTAAACACTAAATATATGCTTTTGGCTTTGAAATTCGACACTTGTTTTACATTTCTCACCGTTAAATAAAAGCCAACAGCTAGTCTGAGAAGTGTTTGTGAAGTTAGTTTAATTTATTTACATTATTTTCATTGCCACGTATCGTTGTTAGCTATATAGCCTATAGCCTTGTATAAAGCTAGAATGATTTTACCACAATGTTTTACGATTTTATCAATAGTTTCTGAAAGAAAACATGAATGCATTACCTTGTAAGCACTTTTGAATATCACACGCATGTTTCATACATGGGTCTGGAACCCGGCCTGACATTTTGACTGTAGTACTGAAAATAAAAAGAAAATAAATATCGTTTTAAAGTAAGAGTACCGATAATAAACAGGGTGGACATGACGTCATTAAATTGTACATCAAGCAGACTTGGCAAATCATGCAGACAAAATTGTGTACTTATGTTTATGCAGCAATGGGCTGCTGAAGCCAGGTAATATTTTTTCAACAATGTTGACATGGTAAAATGTCAAGAAAAAACTACTGTACATGTTTTTGCGGGTCATGCATATCACCAGGGATAAATTAATATGTTTGGTATCAGATGTAAGAAATGTGCATAAAAATTTACGTCCAGCTAGCGACAGTAATTAAAAATACTAAGTGCTTGACTTACGACTACACATATAATAATTCAGAAAAGAGACATTTTATCTTAAACATATAAATGTACAAAGTAGTATATTGATTACAGAAGCGAACATCTGCGGTGTATATATGCATACTTGCTGTGTACATGCTGTAAAGCTAGTTAGGTAGGGCACCATAGATGTACGTTTACATTATCTTGTAGACCTAATAAATTGTACTGAAGCGCGTTCTTCTCCCGTTTTAAGGCTAATATTATACATATGCACAAAGCAGTACACAAATTGCCATTGACTCGACTTACCTGCTTCCAATCAGTCAACAAATTAGCACTTCTAAATTTAAGGTCGTTTGAAAACTAGGCGAGAGCATTCTGATTTGCTACACACTTTTGTTACCAAAACTGGTTTAAATTAAGGTACTGCAGTACTGATTTTATTTAAACACTCTAGATAATTAAACATTCTAGAAAAGAAATATATAAATAATAACAGCAATATGAACAAAAATGAAAATGTTACAAATGCAGATTCGGGTTGATTCTTAAAAAATAATGACAGAAATGTGCAGTATTTCTCACACTCACTAGCATAGGATAAGCTAGCTTAAGGACTTCAGCATACCCGTTTATATACTATGACATGACGTGAATGTCGCATCAGATGAAAAACAAAAATATTAGAAAGCGGCTTATAAAGTTTTGGAAGCCAGAACTATGGATATACAGTATTCAATTAAAAAAAAGAGATATTGGAGTCAATGGTCTTGAAGAACCAGAAAATGTAACAAAACGATGAAGTATGAGACAACTTTTTTATTTCAGAGCAGCACAAAACTGCTGGCCTACACTGCTGTGAATGTAAGACATTTTCTTGAAAAGTGATATTCTCTACATGAGGTTATTAAAAAAATCTCCTTAGTTTGTTGTGTATTTGCAAATAACATGTTAAATAGTTTGACCCTTGACAGACCTTTAGAATCTGTTGACAAAGGTAGGGTCATTTAGCTCTTCCTGGGATATACTCCTAATACCACATAGTGAAAAGAACGGAGAAAAATCTATTTATTTTATTAAACTTACTGTTATAAAAGATAATCCTAGATCTATATAGAATCTAGTCAATCTACATAGTCACATTGACCTTCACTGTCCAAAAAAATACCCTATTTGAAAACACCTGCAAGTACCAATTACAACTAGCAATTGCTATTATAATGTAGGATCCAATCTTGCACTACTTTAGCTTCCTTATTTGCACACTTTTTTTAAACAAAAGTTTAAAATCTTCTCCAAAAAAAATTAACTTCATAAAAAAAATAATAAGAGTCGTCAAGCGAAACTGAAAGTAGAAGTTTACCTTCCGACAAAAATGTCTTCCTGGGATATACTCCTAATACCACATAGTGAAAAGAACGGAGAAAAATCTATTTATTTTATTAAACTTACTGTTATAAAAGATAATCCTAGATCTATATAGAATCTAGTCAATCTACATAGTCACATTGACCTTCACTGTCCAAAAAAATACCCTATTTGAAAACACCTGCAAGTACCAATTACAACTAGCAATTGCTATTATAATGTAGGATCCAATCTTGCACTACTTTAGCTTCCTTATTTTCACACTTTTTTTAAACAAAAGTTTAAAATCTTCTCCAAAAAAATTAACTTCATAAAAAAAATAATAGAGTCGTCAAGCGAAACTGAAAGTAGAAGTTTACCTTCCGACAAAAAGATGTACATGCGGGACGCTTCTGTACTCTTAAACATGAAATCCTCCGCTTCCTTGCGTCGGAGAACATAAGAACGATAGTTGGATAAAATATATGATTAAAGGATCTGCCAATATTCATATTTTTTAGATAAATTATCATATTTACAAACATTTTATTCATTATGGCGGATTTAAGAAGCAAAAATATTATTCATTATTATTTTGAGTACGTTCATACACATTGGAACACATGTGAATGGTATGGGGCTTTTATTGGAAAGGGTCGAACTATCGCTTTTAAAAAGATAAGAGCTGATTTGCTTGTTGACAAGAGTGATCCTTTATCATGATATTATCAAGACGGTTTTTAGTACGCCCGGAATATAGAAACGGGAATGACGGCGAGAATTAATCTGGCGAGATTTTGCGAGAAAACTTCAAAATAATAGCCGCGAATATGTAAATAAAAGAATTACGATAATGTCATCGAAGAAAAGGGCAGTTAAAGGGATTGATGATGCCGTGAAGTATTTTGTTAATGGTAAAAGCAAGCATATATTTAAAAATGTTTTCATATGAGATATTTTCCTGTTTTACATTGGTTTTCGCGACCCATCCTAATTTTTTTGAAACTGTCCACAACATCCAAATGCTGATATGCGCTAGTTTCACAGTCATTATCTCTTCCTATACGCTTATATACTATGTTTAGACTAATGGAAAAAGCCAGAACAATGTCATACAGCCATAGTCACTAATAGTGACACTATTTGTAATATGAAAAAGGCAAAGCCTCAAAGCCAGCTCGATGTACTTTTAACGTGAAATAGTATGAAATAATCGCTCATTTTTATTTCAAATGCAGTGACGAGTGCGTGTGACGTCACACGTACTGTGTTAAATATGGCTCCGCCCCTGTCGTTAAATGAATAACGAGTTTTGAAAACGTTGCTAAAACTTTGTTTGTTTGTTTTATTTCAAGCGAAAAAGTGAAATAAATGTAAAACTTAACATGTCTGCAACATTAAAATAGCGTACTTGATTTGATTGTTTTGCACGTGCTGTTTGGCGCTACATTGTGACGTCATGTAAAAAATACTTTAAACGTCTGTACAGCGTTAACGACTGAATAAAAGATATTGGTGTTCGGATTCATTTTCTTAGTTAGATCATTTTCTTTCATTCTAGATAGTTTTCACAACAAAATTCTACACAAAATTGTTTTTATTTGTAAGATTTTTCAAACAAAATGGCCCCTTCAATGTGAAAATACATGGGGAGATAATAAGAATGGCGAGTGCATTGTCGCAGAATAATGCACGCTTCGGGAGAAATTTCCGATAGTGTTAGAATGTTTTGTTTCTTCAAAAAGAGGAGGTTATGTACATTTAATGAAATCTGGCAAAACCTATGTACAGGAAAAGTCGGTTAAAACAATCGTTCATTTTACATTTTCCGTTTTAAAACTGTCATTCGATATTTTATACACAGCTTCCGTTATTCTGGTTCCCTGTCGAATTATTGTTCTCATAGACGTGCGCGGGTGACCATTCTGCACATCCGTTTTCAGTCAGAATTCCTCAGTTTTTATCGTTATCTTTAAATTCGAAAAGTTGCGATGTGTCCAGTTTGGTACTTCGGACGAAAGTTTTCAAAACCATAACTTAGCAGGTACTCGCGTTACCGTAAAGCTCGCTTTGCGAGCAGGCCCTTCCGGCCAGCTCGTCGAGCTCGCTATAATAATTAATAAAACTCTATGTTCTTGTCCATTCGTTACTTCTTTTGAAATATTGCACATGCATAATGAACATCAGATCTACAGACAATACAATTTGTTCAAATTCAAAATTCGGGTAGAAATTGCCGCGGGCAAGTGAAATTTGAAAGCAAATTGCCCGGTGGGCAAGTGAATTTTCGTTATGCCTTCTATTGGCTTTGATATCCTTTGCCGGTAATACTTTTCTTTCCGTTCATATTACTGTCAAACAAGTGTATTTTAAACTATTTCTGATTGAAGTTGAGCTGCTATCAACCAATCAAACTAGTAAAAAAAAGTCTTTCCATTCGTCTTTCCTTTCAAAATGTCGGGCGGCGCCGAAAGTTTTCTCATTTTTAAAAAAAAAGTCAACAGCAATTAAAGAAAAAACCACGGCAAAGAAAGAATCTGATTTGCTTCAAATAAATAGCATAAAATCACAAAAATTCAAGATGAGTTATGTCAATAAAGACTGACACAACTGCAAGGTTCAAGAAAGAACAGAAAAATCGTGCAGTTGAAATCTACTCCTTTGAATCCTGTACGCTGTTTTTTTTAGTCTTTAACTGACTGGCGTCAACTCATATGCAATATATTCAATTTTTTAAGACAAAATTTGTCACCAGTAATCTTTTTTACACAAATCTTGACCAAAACTCATAATAGTCTTGAACTGTTGTTAATTCATTTTCCCTTCTCATCTACAGCACGGATTTATATAAATCTGTGCCTACAGCAATGTTTAAAAGTATTCTATTATTAAACAGAATAAAATAATCCATAAAATATTAAAAATCCTTTTTTGATAAATCACAGCATTAATTTTAGAAATATTGTGTAACTATAAGTTATCTGAGGTCAATCTATGTCATGCCTAATTTACCGACCAAAACAAAGAAAAAAATTCCTTAGGTGAAACATACAGAAAATGACGTATATTTCGTCTGACAGTTCTTTGAACCAATCAGTGCTCTGACCTTTATGATTACTGCATGCGGTGAGTCCCTTTGATGTGACAGATGATTAAACTTAAAATAAATTCCAATGCAAACAGGGAGGATAGAAATCAGACAGATCAATTTAAATTGAGTATATGGACTTGGAGCAACTTGTTTTTAAAAAATGAAATAAATTTGAAAGGTACGTAACTAGTTTGATAATGCAAACATTGATATTTTACATTGTTTGAAATTAAATCCTATCACAATTTTCAACAATCAATGTACTGTTTCCTTTTTAAAGTTGTAATAGGCAATAAATATTTTTTTAAAGTGATAGCCTCTGAAAGTTAATACTTTTTAAAAGTCACATAGAATAGGGCCTAATTATTAAAAGCTTTAACAGATCATGACTATTCTGGTGGACCTTAGGCAACCTGTGAAGATGTTTTCCAAGTTCCTATTTAACTTCAAGCCCTGGCAGTCTTATAGTCCAGTACATACATTTCACAACTCCAGGAAGAATTAAGATTAAAGAAAAATTGCTATTTTTAAAGTTCATTGAGTTTTAATCTCAATCTATCACATTGAAAATTTTCAAAATGTTTTTGAAAATAACAGCAGTTTTTCAAAACTGCATTAGTCAATTTGAATCAAGGCAATATCCATAATCCTGCATGTGATCTAAAAAAAACTGAAATCAGATCACTGCGTACCCCTTGTTAATCTACTTTTTTGATGTGAGGAATCCCTGATTTTCTAAATTAAATCTCAGGGATTTCTATGGGATCCCTGGCAAAGACAGTTGTGTCGACCCCTAGACTATTGTGAATTAGCAAAAAAAAAACATATACAGTAGGGAATTTAAGACTATTTTACTATCTGAGGCATAAGTTGATATGATCTGCAATAAATCTTATTTTTACCCATAATTTCTGCTTTGATTATTAACAATCTTCACATTTAAGATCGGGCAACCAGCTTTTCCTGGGGGCAAGTAGATTTGCAAAGTTACTTGCCCTTTGGGCAAGTGAAAGTCAAAACCTTAAGTAAACCCCTGCAGGGCATCTCTGCATGACAGCCATCCATGACTTGTCTTTCTCAGCTGCTGGGTATTTACTCAAAGATGTGAAATTATTTATTTGATATATGTATGACACTAAAATAAACTTAAGCATGGATTAATGTAAGAACTAACAGTACAGAACAAAATCCATGAGAAACTTTAAATGTCAATGTTCCAAAAAAAGGGCTTATGCAGCTTTTCATGAAATGGCTTTAATGTGTCATAGTAAAGGTTCCATGATAATGCCATTTGTGCATATCTGTGGATGTTTCTAAATTATAGATGCCATTGTTACAAAAAGGGCTTATGCCACTTTTCACTACTCTGCATTTCTTGCATTTTTGACACAATCATTTCACGAATGAAGTATTGAAATTAGCAAAGTGCGTTTCCTGTGGGGCCTAAATTAAAAATAGCTTTGTTTGCTGTCTCCCGACCGACCCTAAAAAAACGCTGCGCTCCGAAAAATTTTATTTGCTCTCGCCGACCATTTTTTTTTTTTTTTTTTTGGTGCCGCATATTTTTACCGATATCCGTTCAATAACGGCGTGTAGTATTCTGGTTCCCGCGTATTATGCGTCACGTGTATCGACTATCAAGTACCGCCGGGTAAAAGTCGATTGTGTACACATCCGTTACAATTTTGCAAAACGAAAGTTAGAAGATCTTCAAGAAGACGAGTATTTTATCATCTCGTCAACATTTATTATTACGTTTATTCAACTTTGTTGAAAAATAACCTCCACGAGAATGAATTTGTCTGGGCATGGGTCGATCTGTTGAATGACGTCGAGGATTTTTACCCGAAAAATCGGACGTTCTTACGGTATGCTTAAATACTGGTTTGGGTTAAAAACTTACTGAGTGCTCATGTAATCGACTTAAAATAAAGTTTTTGTAAATAAATAAAGTTTCTTGTATGTACTCACTCATTTATAAGTACCAGTATTTATTTAATAATCATTTTCTTCAACCAGCAAATGCACTAGACTCTAATCTTATTGTTTTCAGTACCACCTGTCTTAGTATTTGAACCATTTCAGCACTCGTTTATCACATTTTCTCATTATTGCAGGGCTTTAAGAATAGTCTTCAAGTGGCTCAAAATGCAAGGCACTGAATGCGGATAAATCAAGGTGTATTTACTCCAAGAATAAATTGACAGGGAAACATGATCTCTAAAACACAACCTTGAGAAATTTGATTACAACTGTGTTTCAGTCATTACAGTTGATGGTTAGTATTGGTATTGCACATTGTTGTGCTTATTTTCTTGAAATAGTGATGTCAAAATGTTTTTACATAATCAACTGAAAGTAGAAACCTGATTTTATTCTTTCTTACATATTTCCCATGGTGTTTGTATAATTAAAAAAGTTAAAATAATTGCATTTTTGGCAAAATCTGTATTGCATTAAGTCTAGCCTTCTGTCTGTTTTCATAGGAGATGCTCTGCAAGGGAGAGTGTTTGTATGACTGCAGATGTCATGCCAATCTCACATGGAGTTCCCTTACTGTGCCTCCAACATTGGACGACCAGATATTTGTGCCCATTGTGATGAGCCAGAAGCACAGAGAAATCCAGAACTGTTAACAAAGTTTAGGATTGTACTTCCAGTTTATGAGCAATGCATCAATGTCCACAAGAAAAATATTCCCCATAGATGTCCTATAAAAAATGAATACTGTGAACCTAAATTTTGTTGGTATACTGTGGCTTAACTGTTTACTTGTCTGAAGTTGCTTAGTGTTTGAAGTTGTTTTTCTGGTTGTGTTACTAACTATTCATTTCAGTGAAAATAAAATGTAAGCAGACTTTAAACTGTTGATGTATAATGATGCCTTTTGTTGTTCAGTAGTTATTTTGCATAATATATTTGAGTATATTTGTGTGTTTTAGTCATCCTCTCACATGTTGGGTGAATGTTTGAAATTTTGCAATTGTTACATGTATTTTTATTAAAAAGAACTATACTTCTTGTATTGACTAATTGAAAGATATACAAACTGAAATAAAAAGTAAGATAGATCAATTTTAAAAATTTTTATTCGCCTTTTTATTAAACCGTTTTTTCCAATAAACAGAATCAAACCAAAAACATGTATGTATTTCCAAAAAAAAAAAAAAAAAAAAAAATCCCTACCTACCTACCCAACTCTAAAAAGTAGGGTCGGGAGACAGCAAACAAAGACTTTTTTTAATGTGGCCTGACCCAGTCATAATCTACCTTAATTTGATGTCTTTTCCTTTAATTATTTCTGCTATTAGTACTGCCATTCCATTCAAATCGGCAATTATTGTTTGAGAATCCAAAATTTATTCATTTCCGGTAACTGCATGTATGTATAAATTACCAACTGATTCTATGTCGTTATCAGCACATTTTCTGTCAGACTTTTAACTGTTCTACAATTAGTCACAGTATCCTTGATTTAGACATGTATTATCTGGGTTAAAACAAATGATTTGTGCATGCAGATGCTTTTCTCACAATGACAAACAAACCATGAAAGATAGGAGCTTTAATGGCCAAAATACCAAAGTGTCTGCAATAAACAGACGTCTGACAGTTTAAATGTTTTAATGCAAATACTTGGTTCTTCCTTAGAAGATTTTTTGTTTGCAACTGCAAAAAGTGAGATATTGAAGTTAACATGTGAAATCAAACAGTTCTTAGATTTACTTCTGTAGTTTTTACTTTTTTTTTTTTTAATTTGACCCATGGTAATTTCAAATGACCCCCATATTGTTGGAGGTTCCTTGATAACCTCCGTATGTACACATCTGCAGGGCTCGACACTAACTATGGTCCGTTAGTCCGAGGCTACCTTTTTTCCTCAAGGACTACCCGAGTTTCCAAGCTGGGTATCCTGTCAGGCTACTCAAAATTTCAGTGACCTGATGTCTCTAAATTCACTAAAAATAATAATAAAATAACAATTTTTAGGCTATGATTCAAAACGAAAGATGAAAAGTATGCGACATGCTTGGATAGATAAAATTGGTTTATTTAATGCTGATATTGATTTATTAAGGGATTTCGGGGAAATTAACGGATGATGCAATTACAATGTATACCTCAGTGCCTGAAGGCATGTCGTGCGCTAAATGTTTACAATCATAAGCGACCCAACGGATAATTATCTACTAGAAAGATGAATTTATCTTTCGTTTTGAATCATAGCAAAAAAAATGTTATTTTATTATTATAAGTAGGCAGAGGTGTTATCTAAATTATTCTTGCATATTATAAATATTACATAAAAAATCCATTTTCTTTTTTCAGCGACATCAAAGCAGAAGTTTAAAGGAAATGAAGAGTTATTATGGGCCCTGGAGTGTATAGAGGAGACTTCACTAAGGACAGGTCTTTCCCCAGACCATATCAAAACCCTCATAGATGTTGCTGCATCTGGTATTCAAGGTATATCTAAACTTTTGCTATGAACTCTCTTAACTTATAGTAAAAAATTTGTAGTGTTCAATTTCTTGGCATCAAAACTCCATACCAGTGCTAAATAGTGATAAATATCGTTGTAACTGATATTATTTCTGAAAGTTATTCAGACTGTATAATTTTATTACAATTACATGTATTTATATTTTGAGAAAATTAAAATTTATGCTATTTTTCAATTTATACAGTAGAGACAGTGTGTAAGAGGCTTATTAAAGCACTGATACCTAACTCTGTGGTCCCTGAAAAGGCAGCCATTAGTGTCATCTCCTGGTTGTGTACACGAAAGCCTTCAATCAATATACAGGTATGGAAATATTAAAGTATCTGATTAACATGAAAGACTTAGGTTTCTTAAATAGAAGTGATAAGTATTGTTCAGTAGGGTTAAATGCTCTAGTAGTGTAATGTATTGTGTATTGGTTGCGTAATGTAAAGACTGTGCATTGTACAAGATTATTTTCCATCAACTTTAAATTATATTAAAATCAAATGCAAACCTTTTTTCCTCATATAACTTAAAATCACTGAATATATTGAAATCAATTTCAGAGCTTGCCCAGAGTTTGTTTCTTTATTTAATTATGCCCCCATTTCGAAGAAAAGGGGGTATATTGCTTTGCACTTGTCGGTCCGTCGGTACGTAGACCAAATGGTTTCCGAGTGATAACTAAAGAACCCTTAGGCCTAGGAACTTCAAACTTGGTATGGTGATTGGTCATGACAAGTAGATGACCCCTATTGATTTTGGGGTCAAGGGGTCAAAGGTCAAGGTCACATTGACCTTGTAAGCAAAAACGGTTTCCGTTCAATAACTAAAGAACCATAAGGCCTAGGAACTTCAAACTTGATATGGTGATTGGTCATGATCAGTAGATGATCCCTATTGATTGTGGGGTCAAGGGGTCAAAGGTCAAGGTCACATTGACCTTGTAAGCAAAAACGGTTTCCGATCAATAACTAAAGAACCTTAAGGCCTAGGAACTTCAAACTTGATGTGGTGATTGGTCATGATCAGTAGATGATCCCTATTGATTTTGGGGTCAAGGGGTCAAAGGTCAAGGTCACATTGACGTTGTAAGCAAAAACGGTTTCCGATCAATAACTAAAGAACTTTAAGGCCTAGGAACTTCAAACTTGGTATGGTGATTGGTCATGATCAGTAGATGACCCCTATTGATTTTGGGGTCAAGGGGTCAAAGGTCAAGGTCACATTGACCTTGTAAGCAATAACGGTTTCCGATCAATAATTAAAGAACTTTAAGGCCTAGGAACTTCAAACTTGGTATGGTGATTGGTCATGATCAGTTGATGACCCCTATTGATTTAGGGGTCAAGGGGTCAAAGGTCGAGGTCACATTGACCTCTTGGGTAAAAACGGTTTCTGATCAATAACAAAAGAACCCTTAGGCCTAGGAACTTCAAACTTGGTATGGTGATTGGTCATGACCAGCAGATGACCCCTATTGATTTTGGGGTTAAGGGGTCAAAGGTCAAGGTCACATTGACCTTGTAGGTAAAAACGATTTCCGATCAATAACGAAAGAACCCTTAGGCCTAGGAACTTCAAACTTGGTATGGTGATTGGTCATGACCAGCAGATGACCCCTATTGATTTTGGGGTTAAGGGGTCAAAGGTCAAGGTCAAATTGACTTTGTAGGTAAAAACGGTTTCCGATCAATAACTTAAGAACCCTTAGGCCTAGGGACTTCAAACTTGATATGGTGATTGGTCATGATCAGTAGATGACCCCTATTGATTTTGGGGTCAAGGGGTCAAAGGTCAAGGTCACATTGACCTCTTAGGTAAAAACGGTTTCCGATCAATAACTAAAGAACCCTTGGGCCTAGGAACTTCAAACTTGGTATGATTATTGGTCATGACCAGTAGATGACCCCTATTGATATTGGGGTTAAGGGGTCAAAGGGCAAGGTCACTTTCACCTTGTAGGTAAAAATGCTTTCAAATCAATAACTTAAGAACCCTTTGGCCTAGGAACTTCAAACATGGTATGGTGATTGGTCATGACCAGCAGATGACCTATTGATTTTGGGGTCAAGGGGTCAAAGGTCACATTGACCTTGTATGTTAAAACGGTTTCCGATCAATTAACTAAAAACGCTAAGGCCTAGGAACTTCAAACTTTGTATGATGATTGGTCGTGACCAGCAGATGACCCCTATTGAGTTTTGGGTCAAGGGGTCAAAGGTTAAGGTCATGACCAGTAGATACTTGATAACCCTTATTAATTGTTTGATCACTGGGTCAGAAGTCATAATAACCTTATCACATGACTAATTGGCTGCTGATAGGGGGCATACATGTTTTACAAACATATCTTGTTTACATAAATTTACATTTATATTAAAATATCTTCTATATTTCAGAAAATGACATGTGATTGGCATTTCATCAGATATAGATATATGCCTTGTTTGTTTCAGTGTCTACTGTTAAGATGGCTGCTTGTGATCTTTGAGTATATAGATACGAGGGATAATCTACATGCCATGTATGGTGTTTTGTTCCATTTCTTACATTATAGAATACTAGTGAGTACAATTTTTTATTACTTTTTATTTTTCATTTGAGAAAGCTGTCTCAGCTGGGTTCTGGAAAATTAGTGGTGCTTTATATTTGAAATAATTACACATAATTATAGTGTAAATGAAGTTTTTCTCTTCTAGTACAGCCAGACAGTTGTCATAAGACTGTACAATGACTTAAAACTTTACAGCTAACAACTAGTTTTTCCAATTTTTTTTTTTAAACAGATTACTAGTATATTCCTGTAAAATAAGTTCTGGTTGTTTAACTTGTTTTTTGTTTTTATGATAAAGAAGGCGAATGAATAATTTTATACAACTTTCAAAATCACTAATTGTTATACCCTGTGTTCATGTAAATCATCATGTTTATTTATAGACACCATATATCTGCCACTTACTGTACCTGTTGACAAGGAAGGAAGATGTTAAACTGTTCAGAGTTAGGTTCCTTATACAATATCAAAAGGATATGGTACGTAATTCACTGTAATTTTTATGAAAATCATTCTGTTTTTCCTGTGGATAGGTGTATCTATCAGATAAGATCCTAACATGGCAACAAAGCCAGTGCTATCCATCACCCAAATCTTCATATACACATATTTTATGAAGAAAAATTCTTCTAAAATGCTATCAGTATATGAATTAAGGGTGATGTGTTTGTTTACCAAAATGTCGAGTGAGTTTTCTTACCTGATCAGACAGCACAGATTCCAGCAAATCTTAGTCTGCACTGGTTACATGGGTATCAGTGATTAATCTAGATGTGCGTCTTGCGTAAAATACGCATAAAAATAAAAAAAGACGCACAGTTTCAAAATATGTGCGTTCAATTTGACGCATGAAAATCAGGTGGTTTATAATCCAAAATATCACGATTAGTGATTTTTATGTACTGTTTGATTACTTTAATTTCATCAGTTGAATAATTTTTCAATTTCTTCAGTTGAATAATTTAATTTCCGATGATTACTTGTGCAAGACTTATCCCCCATTTGCTTGAAACGTTAAATCTCTGTGATCGGTAACCGCCCATTATCGGCATTAGCCAATCAGAGCGTCCATTTTGCATGAGAACGAATCGCCTACAATGGTGAAATATGCAGAGATCTGCCTGCACCATTGGCGCTAGAAAATGAGAATGGCACAGGAAAATCGTCAGCAAAGGGCCAAGGGTGCATCTAAAATCTGTACCAGACTTATATTGTATGTTATTTAGTCATCCAGACAAAACTCAGGTACCAACAGCAACAGGTTACCCATTCCCCTGTAATTACGCATATTCTTGAGTTTATCCATTTCCCTATAGCATTTTTCCAAGTTATCTACTTACCTTATCCCTTTCCCACATTTTCTACTACCGTAAATTTAATCCAATAAAGCAAACAAAAAATCATTAATCTACTTAATATTTTAAATAAATATCGGTAACTGAAAAAAAAGTGTTGCTATTTAAAGAAATGCTGTAAGTTCGGTATAATCTGACAGGTGTGTAAATTGAATTCCCCTAAGGTCACTCAAGTTCACGCGGAGTGTAAAAAAAAGATGTCTATTACGTCATCAGAATATTTGACAGGGTGACTAACCAATCAGGGAAACATTGTGCATGACTTTTTTTCATGATCAAAAGGTCTGTCTGTGCTTTCTACACAGAGGCATACAAGGAGCAATAAAAGTCGTCAGTATGTATACAGTGTGATAGGGACATTTTGTGCAAATTACGAACAATTAAAATGGATAATGCACAATATTAGACATAAGTAGTAAGAAAATATAAATTATGCAAATTAGATTTTTGAGCAGCCAATAAAAATTGTTTTGCCTGCAATTAATATTAGTACAAAAAAAAAAAAACTTTTTTATACACTTTAATTATTTAATCGCTTGTTTTAAAAACATGCAAATCATGTCAAGGATCTGCTATTAAAAAAATTTCTGCTAAGACGCATTTATTTTGCTACATGACTCATTGATTTTGCTAAAGGACTCATTGTTTTCAAACATGTGCGTCATCCGACGCATTGTAAAGAATTTCTAGATTAATCACTGGGGTATATTTAGCTGCAACCTGTGTTAAAAGTGCTTTGTACAATACAGAATTAAATTTTTGCCAAGTGCCTAGCCGCTGAGGTTGTTCAAAGTAGTTTTTCAGTTGAGTACTGGCCCAAACATACTATTGAAAAGAATACTGTTAAATAGCCTTTAAATCCTTAGATACTGTATTTTGTTAAATGTGAGTGTTTATGGTTTGCAATTCTGTTAGACTTTTTTGCCCTTACCAGTCCTTTCTTTTTATTTCAAGAGAAATCAAGTTTACCTGATTATGATGAAATAATATATGAAAACTGTAAAATCATATATACAAATTATATATTTTTCAATGTTGACTTTGTTTTTTGCAGGGACCTCAAGCATTTCTGACTGGCCTCTTGTCAATATATCGACACTATTATCCCAGCTTGGTGCATGTTGTTAACACACGTTCTTACAAGGTACATGTCGTTTACATATTGAATTTCTGTCACCATAATCTGTGTTATAAGTGTCCCAGGCCAGCAGGGTTTTTAATGTAAAATCTTAGATTCATAATTCAACAACTACGCTACCGAAAATTGGCCACCAACCTGAAATACATGTAGCTTTAGTCTATGGTATTTAAATTCATTTTGAATTTCCTACATGTAAAGAAAACAATTTACTTTGACTCTGAACTGTATGATATCAGGACCACGCATTAGATGCAAAATTACACTACATGCTGGTATATGTATTTTCATTGAAAATACAGTTTTTTTCTATAAAGAGTTTTGTTTTTATTGCTTTTTGGTGTCTCTCTATTCAGCGATAATGCAAGATGTTTACATTTATCACGGGGATAATGAGTGGGTAATAATTTCCTATACTGTAACATGTGTTACATATATTGTTAAAAAAAAAGACTTGGTTAAGTTAGTAACAAGTTCATTTTAGTTCAGTTGTGACAATGTCTTGAAGTTTATTTGAACTACTCAGTCTGCAAATGTTTACATTGATAAAATCAATCAAAATAAAATTGCTAGTGTTGGTGATATTGTTCGTAGTTTATTCTCCTGATCACCACAATAAGCCACTTTGAACTCACCAGAGCAAAATTGGTTGTGATGACTACATGTAGTTGACTACAAAGTTTAAAATAAGATCTGTCTTCTCTTTTTTTTCCAAAGTTTTTAATCAACGTTTTGTTTGTTTCAGTCATTTTTCCCATCATATGACAGAAAATGGAGTGCAACAGTACGCCAAGTTCGGGAACAAAATGGACTGCCTCCAAACGTGGATGTCAGCTGGGAGAAAGCTTTGCTAGAGAGACTGCATCCAACAGGGCAAGCTTTAGATCTAATGCCTGTATGTACAATGGTTTATGTATTATAGCAGGGTCCTTAACTCTTTATTAGCCTCAGCAAAACTTTAATCTATAATTAGCTGAGTTTAAGCTTGCTATAAAAATTAACTAAGAGGAAGACTTAATTCTGCTTTTTGAATCAAAATATGTGCAGGCACTATGAATGGCCAAAAAGAAGCTCAAAGTCATTATAGGCATAGACCATCCTGTAGGTAAAAATGCATTAAAAACAAGCCCTTGATTATGTCATATTTATAAATCAATATCAATGAAAATTCTGTTTAAATATTTATATAAATATGGTTCTGTGATACTGAAAAATCCATGTTATACTATAATTGTGCTGCATAAAATTTTTACACAAATATGCTTAATTAAATCATGTTTGTTATATTTTCAGTCAAGAAAAAGAAGGAAAGTTGACCCTATACCAGTCATACATTCCCTGACATCTAAGACAAGCTACAAGAAAGATACACTAGCTCATTCACTAGGGATACGTACTGTACCATTTATACTGATACACTCATTTAAAGATGTCCTTGATAACCTTGATTCTATAGAGGTAGGTGAAATCAAAACCATGTCAGTTAAAAAAATTTGTAGTCAAAACTAATGAATTGAGTATAAAATGTAGAATTTTTAAGAATATCATAATGAGCGTAAAAATTCGCAAAAGGACACTATTATAGACCTTTCTGTTATCTGTTAGCCTCTAGGATTTCAACTAAGCTCAAAGATGATGAGGGAACTATGCCCTATATTTTATTTTACACATTGTAAATATCACAAAAAGGATCCTTGTAAACTTTTTATCTATCTGGATACACAAAGTTCATTTGTTATATTTCAGTTTCCTAGTCAAATTGGTGCCGTATTGAGGTCAGACACATTAAAGCATGTGATGTCATATACGAAGGACCACATAGCTGAGGCAAGGTTTCAGTTCTGGGTTGCTGAAACTTTGCAAGAAGGTAAGCTATGGAGATTCCTAACATATAGATATTAACCCTTACCCTGCTGGAACCAAAATTGATCACCAGTATAGAGCTGGACTGGCCTGCACTTTCCTACAGTTTGACCAGGCTCTATACTATTGGCTGGCACAACTTCAAATTTTCATCTATATTCCAAAAAATGCTGATGGACAGTCCCAATAATGTAAGCTGGACAAGTCCATTTAAGAAGTTCAGGAGATAATTGGTTAACTTATCTTATTAAGGTCTACAATAGGCAATTTTCTATTAGTATTTCAAATAATGATAAAAACAATAGCAATGTATCATTCAAATTTTCTTACAAAATGCTGGTTGATAAAGCATTTAATTGATTTAGAATGAACATTTATCTGATAAATAATAATATTTTGTACTAGAACTATATCTGCTATATAAATATATGTAACATCAGATCATGTATCTCACAGTTGCCAATAACTCGCATGTATAATTATTTCATAGTTTGTCGTTGTGTCTGATACTATATACTATCAATGTAATTATTCAATTTATTACAAACTTTCTATTATAGGACAATTCACTTTAAGGTATTAATTTTACTTACAGAATTGGTTGATACATTAAAACAGAAGAACAAGGAAAGAGTGACAACTCTGCTACAACTATTAAAATCATTCTCAGACTTTCTACAGGTATGACTGTTTGAGTTTCAAGTTTACCCACTATACTAAAATTACAGTAGAACTTCTATGAGTCGAACTTCGATTAGTCGATTTTTTCGATGTGTCGAAGTAAAATGAAAGTCCCGATTTTTTCCCTTATATATTCCTTATAAAAACTTATTGATGAGTCGAGATTTTATGTGTCGAGTTTTTCGATGTGTCGAAGTTTTTTCGTGGTCCGTATAGAATAAATCTAGTACAATTTACCACAAATAAGTCGAAGTTCTTCGGTTATTTTGACACCTTCGACCTCGAGGCATTTTCATACCTTTTCTGGTCGCGAAGACAATTTCCGATCAACTTTAGCGACAGGTGTTAATTACACAGTCGAGTGTTCAAACAGCCTTTGTATGCGTTTCAATGTGTGAAAAAATGCTTTAATCATTACTATTTTAATTGCCGTAGCGGTATTTGAAAGAACATGTAAACAGTAAGAACTATCATTTGAGTTCTTCCGTGACCCGGTGTCGCGTGATAATCACACGCGAAATATTTACTGTCAGCTGGTTAAGTTATTGCCCTTTCGTATTGTTACACCTTTTGTAACTTCATTGTATACGTCAACAGGGAGTCCAACTCATTAGCCGTGAAAATTTACTTAACATGTCATATTTATCATTGTATAATGTAAAATATCAGATTAATGAATGAAAGAAAAACATGAAAAAGGTTACGTTATATATCTTATAATTAGGGCTATTCACGGGTTGAAATCGTGTCATGAAATTCAGACCGATTCATGAGTCGAAGTCCCGATGTGTCGAAGTTTTTACGCAAGTCCCTCCAACTTCGACTTACTGAAGTTCTACTGTACTATATGTAATATTGACATTTTGTCTCTATTTAAGTGTGTCAAGGAGGGATCATGGATATGTGACATAATGTGAAGACAATCAAAATCTTAGAAACTAAGATGAAACTTCTTGCAGCCTGCATTAGTTTGTAAGAAATAGGGACATAATTTGTCACCTTTCTTGTCTTCATTGGACAAATGATTTTCTCAAACTGAACACAGCTTTCAAAATAAATTTTACATACAGATCATTTACCTAATTTTTAGCTCGACTATTCGAGAAGAATAAGTAGAGCTATTGTAGTCACCCGAGCGTCTGCGTCGGCGTAACCACTTAAAATATGTTAAAGTTTTTGTAATACTTCAAATATTTTCAAAGTCCATTGACATATGGCTTTGAAACTTTGCACACTTGTTCACCATCATGACCTCAACCTGTAGACAGGAGGAGGTAACTCTATCAAGCATTTTGACAGATTTATGCCCCTTTTTCGACTTAGAATTTATGTTAAAGTTTTTGTAATACCTTAAATATTTTCAAAGTCCATTGACATATGGCTTTGAAACTTTGCACATTTGTTTACCATCATGATCCCAACCTGTAGACAGGAGGAGGTAACTCTATCAAGCATTTTGACAGAATTATGCCCCTTTTTGGACTTAGAATTTACATTACAGTTTTTGTAATACCTCAAATATTTTCATTTAAGTTCATAAGACTTTGAAACATGTTGAAATCTTATACTCTTTTGTTTTATTTATTGCAATTTTGGTATACAATGTACCTTAAATTGTATAAAGCCGCTACAAAAATAATTGTTTTAATTTAAGAAAAAAGAATACTTAAAAAATGAATGTATGATATGAATATGATAGTAAATTGACTTAAAAGTGAATGACGGATGCACAAAATCATTGCTAAATGGATAAAACCATAATTGAATAGCAGTGATATCTTGTTTCGGAACATTTTATTATGCTCCCTGAAAAAATTTCGGGGGAGCATATAGTCGCCGCCTTGTCCGTCTTTCCGTCCGTCCGTCCGTCCGTCCGTCCGTCCCCTTTTCTTGTCCGGGACATAACTTTGAAACAACAAGAGGTATCAACATGAAACTTTGTATGTAGATAGATCTCATTGAGTAGGTGTGCAGTGCACAAGAACCGTAACTCTGCCTTGCCTAATTTTTGAATTATTCCCCTTTGTTTATTTTACACTTTGAACTTTGTCCGGGACATAACTCTGTTTATTTTACACTTTGAACTTTGTCCGGGACATAACTCTAAAAGTATAAGAGGTATCAACATGAAACTATGTAGGTAAATAGATCTCATTGAGTAGGTGTGCAGTGCACAAGAACCGTAACTCTGCCTTGCCTAATTTTTGAATTACCCCCCTTTGTTTATTTTACACTTTGAAATTTGTCCGGGACATTACTCTAAAAGTATAAGAGGTATCAACATGAAACTTTGTAGGTAGATAGATCTCATTGAGTAGGTGTGCAGTGCACAAGAACAGTAACTCTGCCTTGCCTAATTTGTGAATTATCCCCCTTTGTTTATTTTACACTTTGAACTTTGTCCGGGACATAACTCTAAAAGTATAAGAGGTATCAACATGAAACTTTGTAGTTAGATAGATCTCATTGAGAAGGTAGGCAGTGCACAATAACCGTAACTCTGCCTTGCCTAATTTTTGAATTATTCCCCTTTGTTTATTTTACACTTTGAAATTTGTCCGGGACATAACTCTAAAAGTATAAGAGGTATCAACATGAAACTTTGTAGGTAGATAGATCTCATTGAGTGGGTGTGCAGTGCACAAGAACCGTAACTCTGCCTTGCCTATATTTGAATTATTCCACTTTGTTTATTTTTATACTTTCAACGTTGTCCGGGACATAACTCTAAAAGTATAAGAGATATCAACAAGAAGCTTTGTAGGTAGATAGAAGATAGATCTCATTGAGTAGGTGTGCAGTGCACAAGAACTGTAACTGTGTCTTGCCTAATTTTTCAATTATCCCACTTTGTTTATTTTACACTTTGAACATTGTCCGGGTAATAACTCTAAAACTATAAGTGGTATCAACATGAAACTTTGTAGGTAGATAGATCTCATTGAGTAGGTGTGCAGTGCACAAGAACCATAACTCTGCCTTGCCTAATTTTTTAATTATCCCCCTTTATTTTTATTTTTACACTTTGAACTATGTCCGGGACATAAATCGGAATGTATAAGAGGTATCAACATGAAACGTTTGTAGGTAGATAGATGATAGATCTCATTGAGTAGGTGTGCAGTGCACAAGAACTGTTACACTGTCTTGCCTACTTTTGGAGTTATTGCCCTTTGTTCATTTTGACACTTTGAACTTTGTCTGGGACATTACTCTAAAATTATAAGAGATATCAACATGAAACTTTGTAGATAGATAGGTCTCATTGGGTGGAAGTGCAGTGCTTAAGAATCATTACTCTGCCTTGCCTTATTTTGAAGAAATTGCCCTTTGTTTATTTTTACTTTTTGACTTTTGTCCTGGACATTACTTTAAAACTATTAGAGATATCAACATGAAACTTTGTAGGTAGCTAGATATAATTGGATAGAACTGCAATGCTTAAAGAACCTAAACGAAGCTTGGTCTAATTTTGGAGTTATTGCCCTTTGTTCATTTTTACACTTTGACTTTTACCCAGGACATAACTCTGATATCATCAGGAAACTTTATAGATGGATAGATCTCATTGAATAGAAGTGCAGTGCAAAAAAACATAACTCCGCTTTGCCTAATTTTGGTACTTTCCTGTGTCCAGAACCTTCTCGGGGAGCATCACCCGGTTCAACCGGTTCTTGTTCTATTTTAACATACAATATTATGTTTGTTAAATTACAGAGAGCTTTTATGTTAGAACTCTTTCAAGAATCGATCATTAGATTTTGAGAGCAATTTAATTATTTACTGTTGATAAATTTTGATAAAACATTTCATGAGATATAGCCTCCTACCCTTTAATCATATTAAATATATATCATGATGCACATATTATAATGAAAAAGGAGTGGTATATATTGTATAATAATGTTCTTTTAGTGTAGGTGGGTATCCCAGCAAAGTGGTATATATTGTGAGGGTATCCCAGCAAAGTGGTAAAAATTGTGTAAATAATTTGATTTTATGTTTATATACAGGAGGGTATCCCAGCAAAGTGGTAAAAATTGTGTAAATAATTTGATTTTATGTTTATATACAGGAGGGTATCCCAGCAAAGTGGTATAAATTGTGTAATAATGTTGTTTTTGTATGTATATACAGGAGGGTATCCCAGCTGTAGATATTGTGATGTCAGAATACCTTCAGTCATGGAGTGGTCAACATTATACAAAATTCATTCTAAAACTTGTCTCAAGATTTCGTCTCTACTCTTTCTCATGTAAGTATCTAATATAGCATATAATTATATATATTTCCTTAAAGTGTCCCACCTAGTTGTGTAAACACTTTATTTAATGGAAAAAAAAAATAAGAAAAATATTTTTTAGTACTTTTTTTAGTACTTTTAAGAATAAGTATAGAAATAACATATACATATCAAAGTTATATAAATGCAAGCTTTTACAGAATATACTATTTTTTCTCTCGCCATATGAAAATTTTCCCATTCACTTCAAATGAATTATGCAGAATGAAAGAAAAAGAATCAAACTCTGGCTGTTGTCACAAAATGTGAAAATTAGGGAACCGTAACTGGAGAAAAGGCTTTATGTATATAAGTCAGTGTTTTCAATTTATGCTTTTATTGCAGCAATGAATAGAGCAGTACTAGAACCACTGAGAAAACTCTTCTTTACATCATCTATCTATTTTAAGGTATGTATAACTTTAGTTATGTATTTTTTAGCAGAAGTTTTAATGGAAAAAGATATTGTAATTAAGTTTGAAATAAAGATAGCTTATGTGAAGGGATTGCTTTTTGGCTTCCTAGGATCAAGGTCACTGTTGAATCCTACAAGGTATTTTAAGTTTCTTTCATGTGAGGAAGCTCTCCACAGCTATCTTACAGAAGGTTGGTGGATCTACTCGGGTGACAGTTTGTGTCTTAAATAATGCATATGGGAACACCTTAGGTCTTCCCCCATAAAAAAGTTTGGAAGTGCACCATACATCCTTTACAGTGTAGATGTGTAAATGAAAGACTGGACTTTTCTTACAATGGATGTTTGATTTATACTTAGTAGGATGCCATTGAGATAGTTTAGATAAGTTTTATGACTTATTTGTTCACTTCTGATACTCAAAAAAGGATGGAAAGTTTTCTCTTATCAGAAAACTTGTAAAGTTTGCCATTTGGCTTTGACATTGATGACATGCATTATATAATTCAATAAGATATTATTATTGTATAAGTTCAGTGTTTTATTTGATTATTTTCAGTGTAAAGTGATCATGTGTTTAACAGAGTTATTAAGGAATCATGCAGCTAATGAATGGCCGCGAAGTCTTGAAGTTAGTGATACAGATTCCTCGTAAGACACTCTTGTTTGTTTGTTTTTTTAAGATAATTAACCTCACCTTGCTAAATTTGTGCTTAATTAGACTTCTTTTGCAATGACCTCACAACAGTCCATTAGGATTTTGAAGGATATTATATCAGAGTACTAAACATTCAGCATTCAAATGGTATATATGATTTTTCAGGAAAAAAATGGACAACTGGCCTGGGTCTATGATGTTGACAAAGGTCTGTGGTTACTGCCAATGTAGGCAGGTTGGTTTGGCTGCTACAAGGGCAAATGTACTTGGCTGCTACAGTTTGTCTAACTGCTTCAAGGGCAAAAATTTAAAAAAAAACAACAAACAAACAAAAAACAACAAAGATCATACAATTGAATTTGTTTCCAATTAGCTTTTATGTTAAACAAAAAAGAAACAAAAGAAAGTTTCAAGCATGGTATGGTAAATATAGAATAGAATGATTCAATCAATTATTTTGTGTAATATTTCAGGTTATGTCTATTTAGCTATGATGGTGAAGAATTTTCAAGTGTAGATACAATAAAGAACTTTATACATTTTGTGAGCAAGATGATACTTGCTGCCTGTGTGTCAGAGACTCAAACCGCATTGTTTGAACTTTGTGCACTCGATTTTCTGGAACTGGTAAGTAGGAAAATGAAAAAGTTATGAACAAAATGTTTTTTTGGCGTCTTTTTCCCAAGAAATAGTTAAACAATTTATTGATTTTTAGCTCGACTTTTCTATGAAAAGGGGAGCTATCCTACTCGCCCCGGCGTCGGCGTCGGCGTCACACCTTGGTTAAGTTTTTCGTACCACCCCACTTTATTTCAGAAGTATTACAAGTATGGCTTTGAAACTTACCATACTTGTTCACCATCATAACCTCCATCTACAGACAAGAGTACATAACTCTGTCAAGGTTTTTGACAGAATTATGGCCCTTTTTTGACTTAGAAAGTGTATTGAGCTTGGTTAAGTTTTTTGTACCACCTCACTTTATTTCAAAACCATTGGAAGTATTGCTTTGAAACTGACCATACTTGTTTACCATCACGACCTTCATCAACAGACAAGAGGACATAACTCTGTCAAGGTTTTTTGACAGAATTATGCCCCTTTTTTGACTTAGAAAATACATTGAATATGGGTTAAAATCCACTTATTGCCTTAACCCTTTGAGATATTGCTTTGAAACTTTTAATTGCTATTTCACATCATTACCCCCATCTGTACGCAAGAGAAGGTAACTCTGTCAAGGATTTGTTTTAAAAATTAAGGCCTTTTATCGACTTAGAATCTTGGTTAAGTTTTTAGTACCAGTCCACTTTTTGACTGAACTGTTTGAGATATTAATTTGAAAGTTGGAATACTTGTTTACAATCATGATTCCCAAACATGTCCAGGAGAAGGTAATTCTGTCAAAGATTTTATTTGAATTATGGCCCTTAACTGTCAATGTTTTGTATTATAGGCAAGCACTAAAAAACTCAACTCAGTTTTTTTTTCTTTCTTACCAGCCCTCTTTTGACTTAAACATTTCAAACTTTGCTGCAGTGTTCAAGGGTATCACACAATTCAGTAAAATAATTCTTCACTAAATATCTTAATGCTCATGGCCATTGTTCACTTTAAAAATACAGAGATTCTTGTATTGCCTTTTACTGCAAAAACTTTTTTTATTGGCAAGCAATAAAAAAGTCGAGCGCGCTGTCTTACGGACAGCTCTTGTTGAAACATGTAGTTAATTGTTGGATGGATATGTTGAATGATTGTCCAGATTGTCCATACCGTATAAGTACTTATTTCTGCGGGCTTAAAATTCTGCGATTTTGGTTAAAATAAGGGGTTTTAAATTTCTGCGTATCTTATTTCTGCGGTGTCATCATTCTCGCATTGATGTTTTTTATTTCTGCGTTTTAATTTAGACATTTTTACAAAATTAACCGATACAAACAGACAACATTTCAAGATATGTTGATGTAACATGTACATTACTTCCGGTAAACATGCAGACGACTTATTATGTGTGTTCATCGTGATCACCATGTATCGGTATATAAAATATGATAAACAAGATCAACAAGGAAAGGCGGCGTTCAGTGAACGCAATAAACAAAAATCAACAACGTGCAATGACAACAATTAATTGTAATACTGCATGTGTATAAATATGAAGTGTGAAAAATAAACAATGGTAATATCGCACGTAGACACAATATATTGTACAAATGCAAAAGGGTATGTTTATTGCAAACGTCAAACTAAAATAGTTTTATTTCTAAAATAAATCAAGCTTAGGGTGAGCGAAAATCATACAAACATGACATTTTTTAAAACAAAAAGAACAAGTAAAGTAACTTTTCTTTCTAATATTTTATTCATGACGGATACATAAAGAAAAATTATTCCCATCTACAAAAGCTGATAACGGTACATGGTAATGTAATTATACAATACCGGTAGTTGACATAATCCGACATACATGTAGACATGGCGAAAGGCTTAATTTTCTGTGGTTTTTAAATCTGCGGTGTCGTTATAAATCGCAGAAATAGCAGAAATAAAGTTCCCGCAGAAAAAAGTACTTATACGGTATTTTCTACCTAATGGAAAAAAAGAATTAAAAAAGAAATGGAAATGGATAGCTGCCAATCTTATTATAATCATACTTAATTTATTATAAAGCTGAAAACTTATTTTAAACACAAGCCTGCTTCATGTACTAATTAGAAATTGTGTTATAATTATATACCACAGCATGATCTTGGGTCAAGGTGACCTGAAGCCTAAAATCACGCAAGTTGCAGAGTAACTGCAACTTTAAAACCCAATTAAATGAATAGATTATAGGAAATGAAATTTCTTTTGCTTGAGACTACTGAAAGTCTTTCTTATTTTTATCACATAACTGTGCTGTTTTAGTGACTCCGTACATATGGTATTGCACGGCTGTGCATATATTTTGACATGACGTACTTTGCGAAATATAAACATAGCATTAAGACTTGCAAAATTTTAGAGTTACACAATAGGTGCATCAATGAAAAATGGTTCTTTAGAATATCAAATTCGTGTAAATTCATTATTGAATTTATTGAACTCATTGAATTAAATAATATTATGCTTGCCAGAGGCTCGCATATTATAATTTTATTCAACTTGTTCACTAAATTCAGTATTAAACTTACACTCATTCAATATACTCTATGTATTCTGTATTGTTGTTTTTCTTTATTTCAGGCATCAAATTTACATAAGGAGTATCAGGTACCATTTGTAGTATTGGTAGAGCCTAGATTGTTTGAGAGATTACTGATTAGTCACCATCCATTGACGGTATCTAGAGTGTGTCATGTCATCTGCAGGTGTGTAATTCATATCTAGTAGTTAAATGTCTAACTTGCATGTTGGAGGTCAGGGGTTCAAATCCTGGTCTTGCAAAACCTATGACCAATATGAAAAATGGTGCAACATGGTTTTAAACCCTTGTCTCATAATATGCCCTTTAAAGGCTAATTTTCTTTATTAATTTTACCTCAGGAAAATTAATTTCTATCCTCACTTTCACTTTTGTACATGCAAATCATTTCTTTATTAATGCTTAGATATGTATATTGATATGTTTGTCAGAACAATTATAAGTTTAATCACATAAATGAGCCGCGTCATGACAAAACCAACATAGTCGGTTTGCGACCAGCATGGATCCAGATCAGCCTGCGCATCCGCGCAGTCTGATCAGGATCCATGCTGTTCGCTATCAGTTTCTCCACTTGTAATAGGGTTGATAAGCGAACAGCATGTATCCTGCGGATGTGCAGGCTGGTCTGGATCCATGCTGGTCGCAAACGCATTATGTTGGTTTTGTCATGACGCGGCTCAAATAATTATAGGTACAAGGAGAATTTTAACATGCTGAAAGCCGGGCACAAGTCGGGAGGGGTGGAAGTTATACATGGTAAAGAAGAGAGCCGAATGATTCGCGTGTGTAACCAGTTAATTGTTGATTTCTGTAATACACTGTGGAGATACAAGGCGTTTACTTCTACAGGTTTGTTTGTTTATCTCTAGGGTCTTCTTTCAGTTTGGTTAGATTTTCATTCCTTAGCCTGCTGGAACAGAAAGTGGTCAGTGTTTGCTACCATTATAGAGCCAGGCCAGCATGCTTATTTGTGCAGTTTGACAGGGCTCTTATCAGTTATGTTGGTGGCTCAGTTTTAGTATTTTGATATTGAAATCCGTTTAAATGGATTGTTCTTAGTTCAATGCAGAGGGAATTCATTACTATTACACTAATTCAATGGGTTAAGGGTTAAGTCACAGTGGTAAAAAACAGGTGTTCCTCAATGTATAATTTATTGACAAGAGCAACCTCTGGTAGCATGATTAGCTATTAGCCTATGATACAGTTTGAAAAAAAACTTTGAAATATATTTGGAAGCTTTAATGTGAAAGTATAAAATTATTAAAGAGCTTTAATGTTTGATAGAAAAGTACTGAACACAATAAACATTGCAGATAATAAATGCCATATTTTCATAAACATATTGCATATAAGAATTCTATATTTTAATAAACATATTACAGATAAGAATTCTATATTTTAATTAACATATTACAGATAAGAATTTCATATTTTTATACATATTACAGATAAGAATTCCATATTTTGATAAACATATTACTGATAAGAATTCCATATTTTTATAAACATGTTACAGATAAGAATTCCATATTTTAATAAACATATTACAGATAAGAATTTCATATTTTAATTAATATATTACAGATAAGAATTTCATATTTTAATAAACATGTTACTGATAAGAATTCCATATTTTAATGAACATATTACAGATAAGAATTCAATATTATAATAAGCATATTACAGATATGAATTTCATAACCACTGCAGATAAAAAATTCATATTTCAATAACCACTGCAGATAATAATTCTATATTTCAATGTACATATTACAGATAAGAATTCCAATATTTTAATAAACATATTACAGATAAGAATTCCAATATTTTAATTAACATATTACAGATAAGAATTCCAATATTTTAATAAACATATAGATAAGAATTTGATATTTTAATAAACATATTACAAATAAGAATTCAATATTTTAATAAACATATTGCAGATAAGAATTCCATATTTTCATAAACATATTATAGATAAGAATTCCATATTTTCATAAACATATTACAGATAAGAATTCAATATTTTCATAAACATATTACAGATAAGAATTCCATATTTTGCTGGAATCGTGATGATGTAGACAAGGAGAATGTAGATACAGAATGTAGTGTAGAGGAAAGTCTCTCATTGTTTATGCACCCTGCACTGTTACCCTACACCATCAAATATGTACAAAAGGTAAGCTTTTATTCTCATGGTTTCTGTTAGTCAGGGAATCGACCAGTATCGACTAAATATTGCCAATAACAAGGCCAAATACCCATGATTTAAAAAAAAAACTGAGCCTTCATTTAAAAATCCTATGGGTCAAATCAGGCCTTTTTGAAATTTATAGGGTCAAAGGGTCATTTCAAGGGTCAAACGGACACCCTGATTCTGTTTACCTTATACATTCCAATATTTGTAGAAGACACATTTTAGTCTGTTACAGTATAAAATATATACAGCAGGCTGAATCTATTCTGTTTGGAAACATCAATATGCTTTCATTTTGAAATGTCATAACCAAATAGGTCAAAATTAATCAACTTTTAAACAAGTTCCCCTATAGATATATAGTAGCCACAGAGAGTCTTCAAAAGCATTTCTCCTTGTCACTATCAGTACAAATTTTGAAATAGTAATTATTTTTTAAGAATAAGGAAATTACCCAGCAAAATTATCAAAGGTTGTTTTGCACTAAGGTTATGAAAGGGTGATGGTTGTATATTGCCAAAGGATGTTTTTTCCTGTTTTTGACGGTGGTGTTGGTAGTTTTCACTCCAGATCACCACAGTAAGCCACATTGAACTTGCCAGAGCTCAGTTCAACCACTGCATCATCCCAGGGCAGGCTGTCAAGCAGTTTACCAGTACTAGTTGCCTTCATTTTTGCAAGGAACTAATAATTTCTGTTCATGCCTGAGCAGATGTAGTGCGAATGAATCATGGGATTTCAGGATTAATCACAAGGAAAGTGACCTGCACCGTCTGGGAAGCGAACCTCAATCACCCAGTTCACAGTCCAACGCTCTACCTATTGAGTTAATCGGACGATATTTCCTGCTTCTGATTTTAGAAATAAATTTTGTATGCATTAAGATGAGGACTAAAGGAAAATTTATTCTTTTCACTTATATTACAATGTACGCCCCAATCTTATATAAATCTGTACTTCATCTTACTTAACTATAACAAAACCATACAAGGTAATATGTATCCCACCACTGATAAGGCTTTCCTTTCTTTTTTTCAGACACATTTGGAGCCTAAATTGAATTTTGCAGACTTAAAGGTTGGTGATAATTTGAATTTTTATAGTCTGCTTACAGTAAAATGGACTAAGCTGTATTTGCGTTCATGCATGTATATACCATGTACCTTATAAATGACTGAAGAAAAAAAAAAAAAAAGTACATGTAGCCATTCAGTTATAGTACTTGATTCTTTCTTCTTTTATATCTGAAATTAAAGATGTTTTGGTGTTTTATCATAAAAATATTTTATCATAATATATTTTATATGATACTTTGGCTCTATATAAGACACATCTGTTTTTCTTTTTAGAATATGAAAAGAGATTACCTTAATCACCTAGATCGCAACCATTTCACTGGTCTTTCACAGTTCATTGCTGCATTTATACGTAGCAAGTCAGCGTCCCTGACCAACACACAGGTGATGGGAATAACTCAGACAATGTCTCAAACGTTACAAACGCCCTCCAAACACGAGAGATCAGCTTTTGGATTTTGATGACTGTCGTGTTAATTGATGAAGAAATAGTCTGTGAAGGCTGGTTATAATAATGACAAACTTAAGTGATATTGTAGCACTTGTGTTGATGCATTCTGACTTACCTTGAAGTATATCTTGCTGCTCAAAATGCTGTATCCTTTATCAAGCTTACAGAACCTGCATTTAACAATGGACACTTTTCAAAGCAGGGCAAATCCATGGCACAAAGTCAGTGGTGAAAGATTTCAGGCAACAGACATGAAACATGTTGCAGACATGTAAAGATTGATTAATCAAATGCTCATAAATTTGGAGTATTGTGATTGTTGTGGTGAGAAGAAGAAAAAAAACTGAAAAAAAGATAATCATTGATATATAGGATTAATAAGTTAATTTAACTTGTGTAAAACTCAATGAAAATCAAATTGTGCTAAAATATAGATAACAGAACCCAGCAAAACATGGTATCATAATATATCCCTTACTTGAAGTATAACTGTATATGGGTCAAACACATAACATAGGTAGTTAGAATACACAACATTTATTATTAAAACTCTTTGTCCATGAATTTATGTTGAAAGATAAGATTTTATTGATATATAGAAGATATTGTAAGGTATTTATAAAGTTTGGATGTGCATGTTGGTGGTTCTACACACTGTGCCCTCTTGTCTGGTAAATAATTCAGTATTATGTTTTAGGGCATCTAGTGTTTAACTTCACCAGTTAGCTGATATATGCACTTTGACTCTTTTGACCTTAGGAGTGTTTCTTAAGTAACCTAAATAAAAAAAAGAAAGAAAAAGAAGCACTTCCATTTGATTAATTAACTAATTTATTGTTTAACAAAATTGTAAATATTCTGCTTCTAATGTGCAATATGTAAATAGTTTTAAAAAATTGATCTTTAGAAGAATTGATGTAAAAACTGGAAAGGCGGGCATTATTTATATGAAAAGGTTGAAAAATTAAACTTGAAGTAGGAATTAAATTTAAAGGCACATAATGCCTCAGACATAAATGAATTCTTACTTTAGAAAGGGCAAACTTGAGTTCTATAAGGAAATGTGCGATAAATGTAGTTACACCAAATCTGCGCATTATATATGGCGGAAATAAGATACCACTATATTTGATAGTGTATCAAATAAAATGAAATGTATAAGCGTATATCACTGCTTACAGATAGTGTATCAATTAAATTTTAATATATAAGTGTACGTGGCTGCTAAGACTTATTTGAAACCTCATTAAAAAAAATCAGAAAAATGTTTGCTTTCAAGATCATTTGTGAGGATGGCTAACGTTTGGAAGACGATTTTATAATGGGTGATATTTTCCCATTAATTAAATAAAATGCAAAATTGTTTTTGTTCAAACCACAGGGGATTCTGTCATTTTTCTCTTTCCCATTATAATATATAATATAACAAGGGATACAACTCAATATTGCTCAATTCATGAAAAAGTAAATAGAACGCAGTATACAACAGCTTTGTTTTCTTTTGGTTGTTGGACATTCTTGAAAAAATCTATAATTTCAAAAAAATGACTCACTTTCACACATGGACAAGATATGATTAAAAATAACGTGTTTTCATTTTTACATGCATTTGTAAAATTTTAGTTTGAAAAATTACACGTGTAAAACGATATTTAATGCAAAGATATGCTAGTATAAGAAAGTTTAATCATGAAATTGGTCAAATATCAATCCCCCACCACCATCAATAATGCAATCATTAACTTCTTGTACAAATTATTGTAACAATTTTTGTTTGTTTTGATAATTTCTATCCTCGGCTTCCATTTTGATAATGCCGTTATGTTCCATACGTAAATCCAACTTCTTTTAGTAACTGTCAATTTCATTGGCTCATGAATAATAATAATACGGATAATGAGGGCGTTTAGCCGAGGCGAATTGTGGTTTTGTCCATCAGCCAATGAAAATACTCGCAACATAAACACACCTGCATAATGGACGACCATTTGACAGCCAATGTGAATATTGAAATGTTAGTTATTTCCTGCAATGTTACAGGTTTTAATGAAGAGTTTGTAGTAAAACTTGGGTAATGACATGTTCATATATAAACTTCTACAATAACTTTGATGGAATAGAGGATATTTTATACAGTTTACATGTGTGAATGTATTTTACGAACCCGTGCTGGTAATGCGAGGCCACGACTTGTATCCCTTGTTTATATTATATATATATAGATTAAATAAGATAAAGACTGATTTCCCTGTGGTTACACATACACTTTTTTATGCTGTCAAATGAATTATGAAACATATATGTAGATTTCTGAGAAACTATTAGTAATAATAAAAACTTGATAATACAATTATGACATTATTTTTTTTTTTACCCGTGTTGCTAGAGGACATTCAATGCCAAAGAACATAAACTTCCACAAATGGCTGCAGACATGGAGAAAACACAAATTTTAAAGCAATCAATGTCAAAGAACTGCATGTATTTATTTTAACTTTAGAATTAATTTTATCTGAACCACTTGCCAAGTCTTCCCAATACAGGTGTGATATGAGACGTGGTCATACCCCCAGTATGGCTTGAACACACGACCTCAGTGTTGAAAAGTAGTCATTTTTACCACAAAGCCACAGCTTCTTCCTTGAAATTTCGGCACACACGGACACATTACTTATAACTCAGATTATTTACAATTGGATCATTCTGATGTTTCAAGTTATCACGCATAATCAATAAAAAGCATCCATACAATATCTTCTGTTGGCAAGGGTAAATTTACCATCATTGCATGGGTAACTACACCAAACTTATAAAAGGATATACAGTCATGTACTGTTAAAACTTAATTACATTAGATCAACAAGCATAGTGCAAATTTATCAACTTTTAATTTTCTATAGGAGAAATGCTTTTGAATAATTTTTACGATGGGTTTTTTCTAATAATTATCTTGATGACATACTCTGCTATAACCAATGTCAGACTTCCAAGCTATAACCCTATCTATGCTTAATCCATGTCACAGATATGACCCACTTTCAATATGGTACAGTTCACTAGTAATGTTTGGAACAGACTGCAGACAGGCCTGATTCTACTCGAGGTATAGCCAAGTCATTTCTGATCATCAAATTTAAGTTGAAACGGCCCATTGTAAAATCACCAAAATGAACAGTATAGAATGTAGTCACTAGTCAGACACTCCACAATCCTGCAAAATGAGGCAAGAACTTTGCTGTTGTAATAAGCAAGTTATTTCCACTGGAGATTGCATAATTGGTCCAGCAAGCCTAATATCAGCAAGCTTAGATTAGTTTTTGTCAGAACATTAACTGGTACTTGTCAAACTTAAATACATGTACAAATATTTCAAATAAATCCTGGTGTATAACAGACAAAGACAGGTTTTATAATAAACTTTTATTTGATATCATTGTCCAAGAGTATTTATTACATAATGTATAATGTACATGTCAATAACAATGTACATGTATTCATATATATATAATTATATAAAGCAACAATGAGTATAATTGTCTAAACATAAAGACTAACTCTTTCAAAAAAAACTAACAAAAAGTATAGTTAACATTTCACATAAAACATATTTTCAGCACAAATATATATATATGTAAAAGATATATCAGCATATTTTCTAAAGCATATATTTTACACAGGTAAACTGTGTTCTTCATATACCAGTGGGTGTAATCTTTTTAACATAATAGTATTGTTAAAGCATTTTTAACTACCTTGAAAAGTTATGGAATGCTTAAAGTATCTTACATTAAACATAAAATACTTCAAAACTTTAATGAATATTTTGGCAGCTGCGACAATTATAAAGCAAATGGGCAATTTGGATATACATGTTTTTGTACAGTTTTCCAATCTTTTAGAAAGATATTGTTGTGCCACAGTAAATTTGTGTCCTAATTCTGCATTTCGACGGCACAAAAAGAGAAAAATATACCTATTATTTTGTGTCATAAAGAGTGAATAAAACCAAATAACTTGTCACTATAACATAAAGTAACAAAATAGGAAGTTAAGTTATGTCTCATAAAAACATAATATCAAAAAGAACACTGAAATTACCATTGTACCAAAAAGTAATAACATAATTGAGCCGTGTCATGACAAATCCATCCACGCAGTCTGATCAGGATCCATGCTGTTCGCTATCAGTTTCTCTACTTGAAATAGGGTTGTAACGCGAACAGCATGGATCAGACTGCGATGATGCGCAGGCTGGTCTGGATCCATGCTGGTCGCAAAGCCATTATGTTGGTTTTGTCGTGACGCGGCTCAATTCTACAACAACATCTCTAAAAGTCAATATCTCTGATTACACATCTACTTTTATGATAGTAAAAAAAATTGTAAAAATGAGAAAGAAAAAATGCGTATTCATAATTGAAAATTTAATGTTTTTTCAGAGGTAAATTTCGCAAAAAATATATTTATATTTATATATAAAAAAAATTAACAACATTGAGCATATAAAATCCGATAACATGGTTTTTTTACTGAGTATTTTTTTTCCACACAGTTTTATTCTTAACTATCAATAACATATCAATTTCTTTCAACTTCAGACATTTATGTTTACTATATGAAATCTTCAATTATTTTATGTTAAAAAAAGCATTTAAATGTTAGTATGTTAATGAAGTTATATTATTATATTTTTCTCTCACATTATACTAAATTGTTTGTTCACTACCTTTCTCGCTACATTTATATTCAACATAAATTGCATTTTAAACACAACTATCTTTGGTATGTCCAAGAACAAATATGTCTTTTAACATTATTGTATTTACTCCAAAGACACTTGTTTTACTTCAACTAATTACGACAGTTATATTATTTATTTATGAATGTATGAGAAATGCATAAGATTTTAATGTGAAATTTTGACCCTATCTTATATAAGATCTATCTAAAGGTTCATTTAGTACATGTGTTCTATAAGATACTTAAAGAAATATATCATTCATACTTGAAAAATTCACAAATTTCCACAATATTCAATATTAAAGCTTCCTGGGTTTATTTTATTTCCCCATGTCACATCAATGATTTCGTTTATGGAGAACTGGGTAGAACCTCTTTACAAGTTATTCATCATATGAACATTGTTAAATACTGGGTAAAGATATTAAGAACACGCGAAAATAAGTATATTTATTTGATCTATAACATGTTAAAATCAGATTTTGAACGAGATGAGCGTAAGGTAAACTGGTGTTCAATGGTTAAAAATTTATTATGTTCTCTTGGTTTTTATGATGCTTGGTTAGAGCAAAATGTTGGTGATGTTGAATTATTTTTATCTTCAGTTAAACAAAGATTAACAGATCAATTTATTCAAAACTGGCATAGTAGACTAAATGATTCAAGCAGAGCATTATTTTACAGAAACATAGCATCTTTCCAAAGTCAGCCATATCTTGAATGTTTTACAATGAATAAATTTTGCCAAGCATTATCTAGATTGCGTGTTTCATCACACAGGTTACAAATTGAGTCAGGTAGATGGGCACGTCCAGTAAGAATTGAAATAAATGAAAGGAAATGTAACTTATGTGGTTTATTGGAGGATGAATTTCATTTTGTAATTGAATGCTATCTTTACAATGATTTAAGGAAAAAGTATATACCAAGATACTATTGGAATAGACCAAATATGTTTAAGTTTTTAGAATTGATTAAATCTGATAACAAAACTGTAATTAGAAATTTAGGAATATATGTATACAACGCTTTTGCTGTTAGAAATAACGTTATGTACGGGCAATGATACTTGTAAAATAATGTATATATCTCAGCATTTTTCTTCTTCTCTTCTTTTGGTTGCCACAGCACATTGGAAATATTACTCCTTTCAAGATATAAAATTCAATACTAAAAGTTTCAAAGAGAAAAGAATAAAAAAATTAATGATATTTGAATCAATCTACAGTTATTTTGATGATGATGTTTCACGAATAGCCAATGAGTTGACCTTTTCTCTTTTGTTTTCGATTTCGATAAAGGTTGACAAAAAAAATTGGAGTACTATTCCCATGATTGCATATATATTATAATGCATTGTATTGAATAATTGTTTCTCCTCTATTGGAGAAGTTATTTTAAGGTTGAGTTTCAACCTTCTCCTATATTTCAAATATTTGAAAAAGAGATGTATTATTATCATTATCATGCATTACTCTGTCATGTCATATATATTATGTTTGTAATATGTTGTCCTCGTGGGCTTTTTAGCCTATTGGAAATGAAATAAATAAATTCTTAAAATTCATCATTTAACCAATCTGTCATTTATGTGTACATGTATCAATATAAACGGTCTGATTTAATGAAACAATTTTAGATTTTCTCTCGCCACTGTCCATACACGAGTCGAGGTGGTGGGTTTGATGAGTGTAGTGACCCGCCATGACTTTGACTGGTACCAAACGAGTATGAAACCTCGTTCAACACTTGCTCTAGCTCCTCCTGGGTATCCAGGATGTGTACGTGGAACGGTGAGCCTGGCACGTCAACTCCGGACCATTTTACACTGATGATGTACAGGCCGCATTCTGTAGGATCAAACCTACACAAGATGGTTCGATCACGCTGGCTGTCTCGGTACATCTCCACCTGGAAGGCTCCTGAAAATATCATCATTATTCATATCAATTTCTGTTGTAAATGTTCAGAAAAAAATGCATATTTTCTTTACCAATATAACAGATTTGTCTTGCTTTTACCATTAGTTTAGTTTAGTTTATACAAATTTATCATAGTTCCATTGTCTTGGAAGCTATAAGCTTATTGAAACATTCTCGAATTTGTTCCTGGAACCAACCAGTATTAAGCAATGGATGTAAAGTTTCTTGCTCAAGGAAACAACAGCTTGACCCTGAGAGGGATCAGCAATCCTTAGATAACTAGTTCAACATGTTACACACACGGCCACGCTGCCATTGCTTTATGTTAGAAAACATTTAAAATTGACGCTTTTGTTTCATTATCATAAATTTAAAAATATAGCACCTGTCAGAATAGAACCTAGTAAATTAAATGGATGTTCAAGTTGTCCTATCCAGACAATCATGGTGATATAGGTATGGCATGTTGGCTACCATCTTTCAAGATACATAATGAGGAAATGGTCTGAAGACCTGTTGACAAGAGTAAATACCTTTTGGTCCTCTAATACGAACTGTAAGTTGACCAGCTCCGGCACCTCGTGTCTCTACAATAAACCTGCTGATATATGTTGCTAGGATACCATGCTCTACACCTGGACCGTGAACTCTCACCTTGCTAGCATCTGGCTGTGCTGTGACCTTGTAGACGAAAGGACTTCCTTTTAAAATATAAAGAAAATTTGTTTCTTTTACACCAAATGTAGTAAATAATATTTTGTGATTAAAAATTCAAATACACAAATATTAAGAAAACCAAATTTCACATTATGTAGTACCAGTATGTAGAATAAGAATGTACTCTACTGACAGAGTTCCACAAGTGAATTTATAATTGTCAACATACTATTATCAAATACAAAATCATGATTAAGATACTTAAATTATACATATGTACTGTACATTGATTAATTGGATTAAAAAACAAAACAAACAAAAAAACAGAATATTTTTAATTTGTTGCAATCAAAGTATCATGATTTTAACTATTGCTCCGTATTTTCATATTGATTATATTCATCATAATTTGTGTTACAAATATATATTACCATGCTGACCAAACTCTACTAATTTTGGATTCACCACCTACGTAACTAATCAATCTTTCCTAAAACAAAGAGCATTCCTACAATAAATAAACATCACCTTGCACATGTTCTCCTCCATATTTAATTTGTAGCACATGTCTTCCTGACTCCTGAGCTTTAACTCCTAGTCTAAATGTACCATCATGATTGTCCTCAAGTTCACAATACGCCACCTGGTGGGGACCCATACAGTACGCTGTCAGCTCACCTGAATCACAAAATAAACACTTTAAATAACTCCTATATGTAAACTTAAAAACATATCTAAGGGTCTCATTAAAGTCTGACAACAAAAATCTCGATATAAAAAATAATATATATGTATACATGTATATACATATATAATATAGTGTGAAAAAAGAATGAAGCAATTTGCTTTTTTTCAAATTAACATTGCAATTGTTTTAAAAGCAAAACTATTATAGTAATTAAAGAAAAAAAATTTAAGGCATTTGTTTCATTCTTTTTTCCTGCTATTTTTATCCGCATTGTTTAAAACTTTACATTTTGGATACATTATATATGAATAAATGTTGGCAAATCTTAATACTAAAACCAACAAGTCTACAAAACCTCACATCTCTTTATATAAACTGACATGTATCACTTATTTCTTAGCAATGGAATATAGCGCAAACTGTTCCACAAACCTGGTCCGGCTTTCCTTGTATCAATACCAACATTCATTTCACGTCCTAAGATAGCTCCGCCTACACCATTCACGACCACTCTGTTAGGATAGAAAGCTCCGATTACGTTCACCTTATATGGCGACCCTCTCAGCTGGCGGCCATTCCATGTGATATGTAAGAGATAGGCACCAGGGAGTATAGGAATGTAGGTGCAGCGGAATTTTCCGTTCCCAATCGGGTTTATTTTGACATTGACCTCAGCTCTGACCCCACTCAGTACAACATCTGGGTTGCCTATAATAACAATAATAATGATATAATATAACAGGGAACCAAAATAACCACTGATGAAGAGCAGGCAAACTTATAACCCATAATTTTGCTGAACTTGCAGCAAAAGTTTTCAAAACCATCACTTGAAGATACTCGCAAAATACCGTAAAACTGTTTAAAATATTGATCTCTGAAAACTTTCAATTACACTGGGTTTCAGACAATAAACTGATGTCTGGCAAAAGAAACAAAGGCAGTATGACAGTGCCTTGATTGCCTGCTTCTTACCTTCTGTACGAGTCAGATCAATCAATCGCGTTTCAGTAAAGATAAATTTAGATGACATGAATAAAATGATTTAAATGTAACTAGAAAATAGCAGCCTTTATGAATAATTTTAATTACCTCTGCCAGCCTGAGAACCATCAATAATAAACTCCGCCTCCTCTCTAACCACCGCCTCCTTCAGACCACGCCCAGTAAGAATAAGTTTACTGGCATCTGGTGTGTGTTGAATAGCGAAACCCAAGAATGGAGAGTTCACTAATGGAATGTCTGACCAGAAGATATGTATGTAATGTGGACCTGTTAGAAAAATAAATATTGAGCCATCATAATTTTCTATTTTAAATTTACATGGAAATTAAATATTATATTTTGCTAGACTGTACTTGAAACATCACTATGGTATTGGAAGTAAGACAAGCTGTAGCTTATGTCACTAAATATCATTTATTATATTGATGAGCTTAGACTTTCAGATTGTTCAAAAAATCTTGTTCAAGTGTCAAGCTTTGTTTGGTTTCACAGTGCAGATGATGTGTAAAGTACTAAATTTCTCTCCCAAAACAGGAAAGATGACTTTGGCTAATCTCCGGTGTTACAAACTTCAAAAGCAAATCTATGGGTCAAAACCATCTCACCTGCTGGAGCTAAGAGATGCATAGACTCCAGTTATTCAATCCCATTTTTGTCGCCTCTTCAGTTGACACAGGGATAAACAGTGGCTGCAATTTTGATGCCTCTGCCCTTAAAGGCAACCCATCAGCCACTAAGTATATGTATGTATTTATAGTCATTCTTATATGTGATGACAAGTTCAGGTCTACAAAGATTTTATTTGGTTCTAAATTTATTAAAGTTCTGAAAGATACAGAATATTTTCTATAAATTGTGAGGTCATTATAAACATGATATTTCTCTCCTAGTTTCAGTTTTTATCTGGTAAGATTTACCATATAATTAGCATTTACTTTTGGTGACATAGATACATTTTAAGCGTAAAGTTATCTGGTACATTAAACATATTATTAGCATTTATTGTTGGTGACATTGATATATTTGAAGTGCGAAGTTGATATTCTCTTAGGTCTTAATTTCTAAGTATAAAATTATCTTTTATTTGTTAAGATTTGCAAGAAATTTTATAATGTGTGAAACACATAACTGGCTATTAAGTGTAATCTAAACCTTTTCAATTTCCTTCAGCTACCATATTTATGCACATCCATTGTGCCGTGTATACAAAAACAATTTTAAATGTGGTCCATAAATGGAAACATAAATTTTATTTTCTACAATTGAGCCGCGTCACGACAAAACCAACATAATGGGTTTGCGATCAGCATGGATCCAGACCAGCCTGCGCATCCGTGCAGTCTGATCAGGATCCATGCTGTTCACTTACCAACTCTATAACAAGTAGAGAAACTGATAGCAAACAGTATGGATCCTGATCAGACTGCGCGGATGCGCAGGCTGGTCTGGATCCATGCTGGTCGCAAATGCACTATGTTGGTTTTGTCATGACACAGCTAAAATTTTATTTTCTACAATTTATACCCCAGCTATCAGCCTATGTTGGGTACATTGTATTTGGATAATAGACTTAGATGATTTATATAGTCTCAGTGATGCACATTTTACATTCAGTAACTCCATACTTTAAGTATTCACAATGAAATCTGCACTGAAGCAGGATGTCCTTGTAAATTTGTTTTATAAAGGCCCATTGTGCCTAAGAAATGCTTTTCTTTTTTTTCTCAAAAGCTTTTAATTTTGGTGTACTTTTTTATCAGTATACAAAAAGTTACTCATTAGTCAATTACTGGAGTAAAGTTGAGGAAAAATTATTCTCTAATACTGACATAATGCACACTTCTAAAATTATTGTTTTTGTTTTTTTTAAGATCCTGCAGAATGATTGCATGATACTAAATTTTAGATGTGGTGTAGATCTATATATAGCTCATTGTTACACTAAAACATTAAATCTGTTGTGCTTGTTTTCTTGTCATACAGATCATTTTTAAAACCATGTTTTCCTTGATTATATCTCGTGTTTAGGTTACATAATGTTGAAACAAAAAACAAAAACAAAAAAGATTGTTAAACATCTTGATTACAATTAGAGATATATTCCTTGTTATGTTTTGTTTTACTAATGGTACATAAATTTTTAATTATTTAAAGCAGTGTTCACATTAGACTTCATGCAAATTTCTCTTACATTCAATACTTGACTATATAGATAAAGACAATATTATTATATTTAAATGACATTAAATTTTCATCACTTAGATTTTCCCTGAATCCCTGTTAGTAGTGACCCTTTGGTCCAACACTTTAACTTGGTGTATACTCAAAACAAGCCAAGGTGCACCCCTGTCCACCACTGGCAGAGTTCACCTTTTACCTTTGAACTATTAATAGCACTCTCCATCATGATGTCATTAAAATCATGATGTCACAATATTTATTTTGAAATACTTCAAATCTAATTTGTGTTATTTTCAACATAATGTTTGCATATATATATTTGTCCTTCAATTTTATGTTTGTTTTTGTTTTGTTTAGATAAAAGATATTTTACTCTTAAGAGAAAAATTTTTACACTTACAAATGGGGAACACCTAGTATTGTAAAGTTCCCACAGATTAATTACACTTCAGATTTTCTTAAGATATTTTGTGAAAAGGAGATTTATCATAACATTTCTCTTAAAAGAGAAATTTCTTGCAAAATTTTTTGTGAAAAGAGTTGCAGATATATAAGAACAGGTTGATTTTTGTTTCTTGATGTTATATCAGAACTTATCAATTAAGTAAGAGTCTTTCTTTCTTAATGCACACGTAACATAAATGGGGCTCAGGGTGTCAGCTGCCTTATTGGTCCGCAATTCAAATCTTGGCATCCTGGCCAAGTGGTTAACACATATATTAAAGAGTTCCAAAAAGGGGGAACTTGTTAATAATATGGTATCTTACCTTCTTCTTCTGGAACAAATTCAATAACTGCTCTACCCATTGTGTGCGTGTCAATATCCACATCTAGTGTCTTAGATGGAGCCTTTACCTCCGCTCGCAATGTACCTAAAATAAATACACAAATTGATGACTGGAAGCGCGATATATTTCACAGTAGATACACTCACGGTTCTTATTTCCTCCCTCTGTATTTGCAAACTAACACATTGACGGCGCCATTTTGTTTGTTATATTGTATGGTATGATGTTCAGATGTTTGTTTCATTTTACGCCTTTTTCAACAGTATTTCAGTCATATAGGCGGGTCAGATGTTTGTAATTAATCATTAATTAATTATATTGCTGTGCATCTGATTTCCATAACATGCTATATTATAACACAGAGCACTCAAAATCAGAATGTATTTCATAAATTGAAACTAGCAACTGTTAAATGAGTTTCGTCCGACAGCATGGATGAGAAGACAAAACCTTGAATTGTCATTAACATTGATCAGAACAGTGACTGTAGAACTAAATGACTAACATAGTAATAACCTTTATATTGATAGTATCAGGATAATTAATAATCATTTACAAACAGTGATGTCATGAATATAATAACACTACGCAGTTAAAATCTTCTAGAAACTTATCTATACACATGAAAGAAGAGAAATAATTATGAGAAACAGCAACAAAATTCAGCCAAAACATTGGTATATTACAGGTAATTTTAAAAATTTGCAGTTGACTAAATATTTTTTACTATTTATACAATATCAACAAACCTGGTCCAGCTTCTGAGATATCAAATGGAAGTTGTTTACGTTCCCCGACAACAAGATTTACTCTCTCGTTACTGTCCATAAAATGCTGCCATCCTCCAATTATTCGAACCTTTCTGGCATCAATGACCTTCGGGTGATATGGACTACCTATAAAAGAAATCAGGGAATTTACAAGTTTACAAGTCTAAATTCGACGAACAGAATGTCCCCAATTTGGTTTTCATACTTCACTAATATGTTTTTTAATATGTCAATACTGTTAATCATGTAAAAAATCAAGAAATCAAAATTTCTAATAGTTTTGACTTTAATATGCCTTCGTTCAAAAAAAAAAAATTGCAAATATCAAAGTTGACCAGGCCACTGTACAGAATCTTGTCGAATGTTTTATCAATAAAAACAGCTTTTTATTTCACATACTTTACTAATTTTATTAAATATTCAGCAAGTGAAGTTTGCAAATATCACATGATATCATACCTGGAATGTCCGTGTTGTTCCATGTGACACTGATATCGAAAATTCCTGTTTCAACTGGAATGTAGGTCACAGTGTACGACCCATCGGCCTGAGGGTCAACGCTACATTTGGCAATAGAGTTTGGACCTGAAATGGACAACCAAACATAAATACATCAGTTAAATACAGTTATAATCAAAGTATTATTATTAACAAGACAATCTTACATACATATATATTTTCATTATTCTGATAAGATACCAATAAAAGTTAATCAGCTCAAAATAATAAACAAATACATGTTGTGACTTTTAATATCTTCCTTGAATTCTTTCTTTCTTACCTGACCACTTCAAACTCTTATAGACTCTTTTCAATATAAATTTGTTCATTGGTTTTCTACATGAAACTGAATAATATAAGTTAAGGGAGATTTAAAATATCAAAATGCTGAACTTGAGATTTCAGCCTACAGTGTAGAGGCCTAACCTCAAGGTAACAACTTTTTGTTTCCGAGTTCTGTCTCAAATCTCAGGATTTTCATTGGTCAGTGTACATTCTGGGGCAGATTCTGACCAATCAAATACCTGAGAATTCTCAGAGTTTGAGCTTAGACAATATTTACATGGTCGGACTACTATGATAGTAGGTTGGTCTGACACCACTTTTATACTGTCATGATATAAAAGTCATTGACATTGCTAGTGGTTTAAAAAAGTTGAAGTAGATAAACACAAAACTACAATTACTTGACAATCTGGTGATATCGCCCAACCCTAATGCTAATCATTCTAATTACTGATATACAAATTGGGTTCTCATTTTCCCCTCAGAGAATATCTTTAATAAAAAATATCTAACCAAATTTCTTTTTATCAAGCATTATATATTAGCCATACAAATACAGTCATGTTAACGACAAATCAGTACTAAAGGTTTTATAGCAATTCAATGGACACAAAATACCGGTAGCACGTAATGTCCTATATCAAAACCGAGAATGGTCATGGAAATATATTGTAAATATATAATTTTGCAAAACTACTTTTAAAGTTTGAAAGAAACATATAAATAGATCTTGTGGGAGTTTATTGTATAAGTAAATAGATTTCAAAAACAAGAGCTGTCAGAAGGACAGCGCGCTCGACTTTTTTAGTGCTTGCCTATAAAACAAAACTTTGACAGTTAAGGGCACACAAGACTTTAACTAGGAATTTCTAAGTACAAATCAAGAAACATTTTCACAGAGTTATCTTCTCTTGCTTACAGATAGGTCTCATGATGGCACATAAGAACTCCAACTTCCAAAGTAATATCTCAAATGGTTAAGTCAACAAGTGGACAAGAATGAAAATCTTAACTGAGTTTCTAAGTCAAAAAGGGCCATAATTCAAATAAAATCCTTAACAGAATTACCTTCTCCTGCCCATGTTTTGGGACCATGATGGTAAACAAGTATTCCAACTTTCAAATTAATATCTCAAACAGTTCAGTCAAAAAGTGGACTGGTACTAAAAACTTAACCAAGATTCTAAGTCGATAAAAGGCCTTAATTTTTAAAACAAATCCTTGACAGAGTTACCTTCTCTTGCGTACAGATGGGGGTAATGATGTGAAATAGCATTAAAAGTTTCAAAGCAATATCTCAAAGGGTTAAGGCAATAAGTGGATTTTACCCATATTCAATGTATTTTCTAAGTCAAAAAGGGGCATAATTCTGTCAAAACCTTGACAGAGTTATGTCCTCTTGTCTGTTGATGAAGGTCGTGATGGTAAACAAGTATGGTCAGTTTTCAAAGCAATACCTCCAATGGTTTTGAAATAAAGTGAGGTGGTACAAAAAAACTTAACCAAGCTCAATACACTTTCTAAGTCAAAAAAGGGCCATAATTCTGTCAAAAACCTTGACAGAGTTATGTACTCTTGTCTGTAGATGGAGGTTATGATGGTGAACAAGTATGGTAAGTTTCAAAGCCATACTTGTAATACTTCTGAAATAAAGTGGGGTGGTACGAAAAACTTAACCAAGGTGTGACGCCAACGCTAACGCCGACGCCGACGCCGGGGCGAGTAGGATAGCTCCCCTTTTCATAGAAAAGTCGAGCTAATGATATAACCATACAAATAGAACTTATTCAAAAAGCTATTTCAAAGTGTTAGCTTTAAAAGTTGTAACAATTGTACTTTTTCAAACATACAATCAAATAAGATATGGCAGATTATGACAGTTGAGCTTGAAAAGTACCTGTATACAGTGAAACCTGTGAACACAGGCCATCTAAGGAAGAGATACAAAATATGGTCTTTATAAACAAGTGGTCTTTATTTGGAGCTTACTTTTATCCCCTTAAATCAATAAAGGCTTATAAAGAAAGTGGCCTTTTTTAAATTTTACAGGGTTACATTTAATCAGAGGTAGTCATTTCACAGGTTTGTCTGTATATTCTAGATGGTTTCATTACACAGTAATTCACATTCTTTATAACATATACAATCTATTTAAACTGTCTGATGATCATCTTTGGAAAGTGTTATATTATAAATTTACATATTTCTTTGAGTTTGTATCATATTAATGCACTATGCTTCACTCATAAACACAATCTATAAAATGACAAATTTACCAGCATTAGACAAGTTAAAAGCCAAGTAAAAATATGTTTTTGTGGTTTCTTTTATTATTTTAATTATTAATATTATTGTTGTTACTGAAGAACAGATCAAAAAGTGGAAAGAAGTAAGCCTGGAGGTGCAATCATGTAATTGTAAGATTCAAATTATATATTCATTAATTTAGCTAAGTAAACATAGTTTCTTGCTAATTTAAGATTAATGAGTGTCACTTTCTATGTTCAGCAATTCATAAAACATATAAAAAAATTATCTTGTGAAACATAATATTTTGTTATTTTTCACTTATATAAACAAGAGGGCCATGATGGCCCTGAAGTCGCTCACCTGTATATAGGCCCCCGGAGCGGGGCCAGTTTAAACCCCAGGGCTTTTATTTGAACAAACTTGGTAGACACCCATTAGAAGATATTTCATGCTTAACATCTAAGGTCTAGCTGGTCAAGTTTTTTTCTTTACACATATAGTTAAAAACAATGACACACCTGGGGCAGGGCTAGTTTTGACCCAAGGGCTTTTATTTGAACAATCTTTGTAGACACTTACTTAAGTTTTTACTATATGCATATAGGGAAAATCAATGAGCCCTGGGGCGGGGCCAATTTTGACCCCAGGGCTTTTATTTGAACAAACTTAGTAGACATCAATTAGAACATGTTTCATGCCAAATATCTAAGCTCTAGCTCTTTGGGTTTTTTAGAAGAAGATTTTTTAAGTTTTTACTATATGCATATAGGGAAAATCAATGACCCCCTGGGGCGGGGGCCAATTTTGACCCCAGGGCTTTTATTTGAACAAACTTGGTAGACACCAATTAGAAGATGTTTCATGCTTAATATCTAAACTCTAGCTATTCGGGTTTTTTCAAAGAAGACTTTTAAGTTTTTACTATATGCATATAAAGAAAATCAATGACCCCCTGGGGCGGGGGCCAATTTTGACCCCAGGGCTTTTATTTGAATAAACTTGGTAGACATCCATTAGAACATGTTTCATGCCAAATATCTAAGCTCTAGCTCTTTGGGTTTTTTAGAAGAAGATTTTTTAAGTTTTTACTATATGCATATAGGGAAAATCAATGACCCCCTGGGGCGGGGCCAATTTTGACCCCAGGGCTTTTATTTGAACAATCTTGGTAGACACTCATTAGAAGATGTTTCATGCTTAATATCTTAGCTCTAGCTCTTTGGGTTTTTTAGAAGAAGATGTTTAAAGTTTTTTCTTTTGGTTGCCATGGCAACCAGAGTTCTGCATGGAATGGAATTCTTTGAACAACTTTGTTAAGGCTTCACACAAGGAACATCCCTGTGAAGTTTCATTATGATCTGCCTTATGGTTTCAGAGGAGATGTCGTTTGAAAAGTGTGAACGGACAACGGACGACGGACGACAGACGACGGACGAAGAGTGATCCTAATAGCTCACCCTGAGCATATGCTCAGGTGAGCTAAAAACTCTTAAAACTCATCCCAACCTCCTCCCAGCCCCTAAATACAATGTATATGACTTGTTCATCATATCAAAGATACATTGTAATTTGAATCAGCAGAAGGCCATTTTGAAATATTTTTAACACAATCATTGTAAATTTGACTTTTTTCAATAACACATGCCTGCTATTAAATGTTTACGACACCAAAGGCTCACATAATACGATTTTATTCAACTTGTTCAATAAATTCAGTAATTAACCTACAAGAATATGATATTCTATTCATCACACACCCAAAATAAAGACTGTTTAAATGGTAAAAGAGACAATTTTCATTGATGCGCCTATAGTGTAACACAAACATTTAGTGCGTCTTTAAACGCAAATGACATCAGTTCAAAATATATACACGGCTGTGCAATACCATTTTTACGGAGTTACAAAAGCAGCACAGGTATGTGATAATAAATGTTATGTATTTTGTATTTATTAGCTTTTTCAACAACGTCATTTCAGTTATGTTATCTTCATTAATTATTGAAATAATTCCAGTGTAAACATTCAACCTTAAAATATAATGAGAACATTAAAGTATCTCCTTGTTATGTCAATATAAGTTTGTCCCATCAAGTCCCAGTGAAACAATGAATATTCAATATTACAATACATGTATTATCTCATTTATATTTGTGTTGAGATGATAGCTTAATTATATATTCTGTCAGGTATACAGGTCACTGTGAGATTGTCCAATGTTATACTGTGCCAAATCTCTGATATAATATACCATGTTAATTTGTTAAATATTGACATGAGGCCACGCCTAGTCTTAAAATTTTTATGGCGCACAAACACATTTTAGATCATATGGTGCTGAAACAGGAAAGATGATTTTGGCTTAAACCTTGGGTATTACAAATTCAAAGTAACAAACATGGTCAAAGCTGGAGCTAAGAGATGGATAGACTCCAGTAGTTCGAACCCATTTAGTTGCCTCTTACGATACATACCAAAGCTAGTAATATTTGCTTGGACATTAGTACATGTACATCAACTGCGTTATAACAGTATATTTGTACATCTACTAATGTTATAATTATAAAGGTATGTATGACAAGACTGAAAATGGAACCTGGGACTTCTTAATGCAGCTGATACCCTATAACTAGATGACAGTTTCAGCATGAATGTGTCTTTATGTGGCTGATAGATACACTACAAGTCTACTACTATAGGTAACAAGTTACAACCTAATACTGGGACCTAATATGTGGCTAGATGACAAGTCACAACTTTTGAAATAATACAATGAAATTATACACCATATACATACCACTGACTGACACTCGTAAATCTCCTTTCCTACGTCCCACCTCCACATTAAACACAGCAGGTTTATCTTCCTCCGCAAAGAAGAGACCACTTCCACTGGCGGATGGTAAACCTCCATCAGCAATATCTTGAGTGAACGGGCATCCTGAAATGATACAGAATAAATATTTACACAATGTATGATGATCTTAACTTAAATCTAAGTTTAAAGACTGTATCATAGTCTTTGCAAAGTGTAATCACTTCAATGATTCTAGCAGTTTTCATTGTACTTTAGCACAAAATAAATGTTTATTTTTATTAAGCATATACCAAAAAGTGACTCATAAAAATGTATGAAATAGAGTCACAGTTTTTAATAATATTTAGGTTATTTACTTACTGACATTCACAGTCAACTTTACCAGATTAACACACATACTAAATCATAAGACTGCTCATATAAAATCAAAGGTAAGCTGAACAAGTTACTCCTTGTAAATACTTAAAATATTCAAAACATTATTTGCCAACCCACCTTCTCAATAGTCCTGACACAAAAAAAGATACACCAACATAATTTTTTCTCTTTTTTCTATATTCTACATTATACATGTAGATGTAATTACCTTCATCTATAACTGCATCTTTTTCTGCTACTATGTTTATACAAGTGAGGTATTTTCTAGGTCGCCCACGTGAATCCTTCATGGACACACGTTTTTCTACACTACAAACCACACCCTCTGTATTACCACTTTTATTTTCAAATGCGTACACAAATATTTCCTGATTATCTGATGCATTATGGTCAGTAACTTTTGCAGAAGATGTCTCTGAACCAGCAGACAACACTGAATCAGGCTGCCGTCTGCTTTCATTTTGACTAGAACCTTCATTTATGGACATGTCTAATTGACTAATGGCACTCCTCACATTATCATCATCATCTTTATCATCATTTCTAGTCCTTTTGTGTAGTTTTTCAGTGTCTAGAATAAGTTTAGCACCTGATTTGACGTCAGTTTCAATATGGCCATCTTTTTCTGCAGATGTCTTTTCATGACCTTCATTTTCATTTACTTCAATTGTTTCTAAATCCACTACTTTTAACTTCTGTCTCTGGAAAATTTTGTTTTTATGTAACGTTCTTTGCAACTGATTTTCAAGATTTGCTAGTAATGCTTTATTTCCAAGAATTTTATTTCCTTTGGCACTTACACGTCTTTTTGGGAACTTTCTCAACCCTTTCCCATCATCACCATCTTCATTTTCTTTATTAGAGGATTTACCTTCATCCTCCTTTCCCTCTTTCTTTCTCAACACAGAACCTAATTCTTTCAAAAGTTGGTCATGAAGTTTCGAACCTGGGTCCTTTTTTATAGATGTCTTAAAAAATATAGGGTGAGGTAACACTGCATCAGGACTAATGGGTGCCTTTTTAACAACTGTCACAGGCTGATTTTCTTTTGGATCTGTTTTAACAGTTAAGTCAGTCTTAGCCTGAGACTCTGACTGATCACTATCTTTTTCTTTGATATCAGAGGGTGATTCTTGGATATTATTTACAATTGGTCCAAACCGTTTTAACAGATACCTCTGTAGCTCATCTATCATGTTTGCTGGCTCAACAGCCTTCACTGTTTCATCTGTATCATCGTCTTTTGTATCACCCTTTATAGAAATTTCTATGACGTTTTCATCTTGGACAGCTTCCTCACCCAAGTCCATCTTTTTCTCCTGATCCATTGTCGGACCTTTACCGGAAGATAATTCATTTCCCTTCTTAATGATTTCATCCTTCAAAGCCTGAGCCAGCATCATTTCTCTCATTGGATTACTTATCTTCTTTTCAACAGTTACTTCTGCTTTTGATGCATCAACTGCATTTTGTGCATTTAATTTAGCACTCTTTTCTGTGTTTTCTTTACATTCAGTTGTGCTTACATTATTCAGTTTGTCAATGCCATGACTCAAAGCAATACCACTTTGGGGAACCTTAGAATCTTTGCAAGTGTTGGTAGATTTTAATCCCCCTCCTATTTCACAACTTACTTTTCCTGCATTTATGTTGCGTCCCATATAACCACCAGAATTTACTTTAGCTTTAATGCTCTCATGTTTGGATAAGGATACAGAATTATCTGTCTTTTTTATACTACTTACTCTTGAATCCAAACTGTTGCCAGACTTATCAATTTTACTTAGAACATTGTTCTGACTAGATACTGACTGAACATTAACATTAAACTTCTTCACATCACTTTCTGATTGTGTAACAGGCAAAGAAACTTTATTTTCTTTCTTTACACTGTCTGATTTTGTGAGAGATAAAGGAACTTTATTTTCTACCTTTATACTTTCAACTTTTACTATAGGTTTAACAATTTCATTTTCTCTCTTTGTACTATTTATCTTTACTAAAGAATCAGAATTCACATCTTGAGAAAATGATGTCCTCTCAATAGGGATATAGCTGGCTTGCTTTGCTGCTGAATTAACAGAGACTCCAATTGATCTTTTACTTTCACTCCTTCTTACAGATGAATTGCTTTTGGCTGCTGAATCACTTTTGACTACTACATTACTTTTGACTGCTACATTACCTTTGACTGCTGAATCACTTTTGACTGCTGAATTTCTTTTAACTGCTGAAACACTTTTGACTGCTGAATCACTTTTAACTGCTGAATCACTTTTGACTGCTGAATTTCTTTTGACTGCTGAATCACTTTTGACTGCTGAATCACTTTTGACTGATAAATCACTTTTGACTGCTGAATCACATTTTATATGAATTTTTGTTTCAACATGTTCCCCTTGCTTTAAAACTTTTCCATCATTTAGATTATTTCCAACTACAGAATTCAAACTGTGTGACTTTTCTGATTTAATATTCAACTTATTTCCAGCTGTGTTTTTAACTCCAATAGGGTTTCGTTTTACTTCCAAGCTAGCAACATTTCCAATCGATTCTACCGTCGATTTACCTGCAGTCGTATTTACACTCTTTCTAGCTGACGGTTTAATTTCAAACTTAACTTGCGTTACGGATGACATGTTTCACAAGTCTCTTTTCTTTTTATACACACATTAAACTGTTCAATAATATTAAATCCATTCAATACAAACAAGCTATACACTCTACTATGTGGAGTCAGCATAAAGCTTGTGGTAGAATAGCAGTCTCTTTAATTTTGAACACTTTACGTAAAAGAAAATGTAAATAAATCAAAATCCACTATTAACACAGTCATTCATTCATTGCCCTAAACTATCTGATCAATGCAAAGAATTTTTTGGGATCATTCTTCAATGTAGTTATAAGATTACTGAATATCTGTGATATAAAAGAAATGTTGACATTATCACAGTAAAGTAAAGAAAAACACCCAGAGCCCTCCCTGTATCACTGCCACTATAAAACAGTATCATTTGCTATTAAATCAAACGAAGGTCTATAAAAGGCAGTAAAAGGTCATCTTATCTGTGCTATCACTCTCTTTACTTATTTCAACAAGTCTTAAACCCTACCGATAAACTTTGGACTAATATAAACAAAATTAACACATCCCCCCACCCCCCACTTCTAAAAATTTAAAAAAATAATAATGACCTGCAAATAAATTGTAACAAAAAACATCTGGATCATTTGTAAACCACTTATACAGTTGTGTAATCAGTTTCTGATGATTAGTAAAGAATTATCATAATCATTTAACCTTGATTTAATTAAACCTTGATTTAATTAAGATAAATCAATTAAATGATGACAAAGGTGTGGGGAGAGCATTTATTGTGTACAATAGATATAGTTATAAATCACCACTGGTTTATTAGGGGTTATAATACAAGTTTGTTTTTCATTTGTAAACATTTCACAAGTAAGATAAGTTTCTGACACTTTTCTAATTTGTGACAGCCGCTCTCAGTGGTGACAGGTCTTTTGATGTTTAATCAGCTGTTGACAGTTGATCCAATTTTCAACATAATTTAAACTAAATCAAAGATATAATAAATTTATCATAAGACATCTCAAATGCCAGGTGATTTAATTCTATTGAATATATATATTAATATATATTATTTTCAAGTTGTTTCGTTTTTTAACCAAAATTTTTGACACTTATATGATAAATCAGTATTACATTAATTGAGAAACAATTAATGATACCGGTAATTAGTTTATCAAATCATTATAGCCCTTTTTTTTCTTACATACAGGCAAGCTAAAAAAGTTAACTTGATATATTAGTGGCTAACCAAGTTTTCAACATCAAAAATGCTACTTCAGTCAGAAAGTCTTCATATGTCCAATAAATTATAGAATATTGGCAGATTTTCTTTACCTATAAGTTCAATAACACTTGATTAGTTTACTGACCCACTTGACAATAAGTTCAACACTCAGTAAGATTTGCATAAATTATTCTTACCAAGTCTTCAGTAAACAATGACCATCTTCTTAATTAAACTTTTTATCAGCCAGTAAAATTCATCCATTGATCTTTCTTGTTTAAAGCGACATGCCTACAGATTCATGCTAATTGTCATCAAAATTTTTCAAATATATTGAAAAGTAAAATATTGTCAAGTGAGCAAAGTAAGTAATTTACACACCCCAAACGGCACTGAAAATCTGTGAAAAATTACCAAAATTTGATCAGAATTTACAAAAAATAGTCCTTTCTAAATAAGTCACACAGTAGAAATATCATGATGTATAAATGCTGCAAAATCAGTCATTAATTGTATATGACATGTAAATTATTTCTTGAATTGTGAATATATTTACTTTTGTGAAAATCTAAGTAAATTTTCCTCAAGGTTGATTTTCTTGAAATATTTTTGGCTCATCTGGAGGCATGCAGCTTTAAACTTTTGTATTGAACATTGATTGTAATAAATGTTATGAGGAGGCAATGAGTCAGTTGAGTGGTTTTCAATATCAATGATTTCAAATAGCTTTGTACCAAATTAGGGCATTAAATTCTATATAATTTGAGGATACTATCCATTAAATCATGTTTTAAAATATTTAATATTTCTTCATCTGGTTGAAAATTTGGCTTTAAAACTTGCACATCACTTAACTTACAATCTCTTTTAATTTGTATATATTTTACTTGAATTTTCTGAACCCCATATCAACTTTTCAAATTGAAT